GTTTGTACTGACTCCTCAAAGTATGGTAACGTAGATTGCAATAAGTCAAGTAATACCTTCATAACTATCACATGTTCCGGTAGCTGTTATGAATATTTTATTTATTGCTAATCAAGTAGCAATAATGACTTTCATATATGGTAAATTGATGTAAAATCAGTCTATATGAGGACGAGTATTACGTTCAATGAATTAGTTTATAAGGTAACGTAGATTACAGTTTGGTAACGTAGATTACAAAATATCATTGTTGAATTCTGACAGAATGGGCAAGACTCATCCAGCGGGATTACGGACAAGGGAATAAACAAAAAGAAGGAATGAATGTTATTCATCTGAACAAGTGTTTTTTGTGCAATTCTGTATTCTACGTTACAAAGGCATTCATTCACAACCTGATCAATAATATTACCTTTTATAATGCTGTTGTATTCTCAGTGAAGTTCATTATATTACCTCTCAGATGTCGATTCTTTTTGTCGTCTTTTTTTGCGTTAAGAACTGCTTTTAAAAGTATAACATAAAATGATATTTTCAAGAGCTTTGCCTTGATAAAGTTTATTGTTATAATGCTAACAAACACAACTGAGTGGAAAGGATGTTACATGTAATGTTGTTTTCTTAACGAAACACAACTTTGGGATTAACGACTGAACTTTGTGAATGATATCTCCATTCAATGTGTTATGCAGCCATCATAAAGAAAAGTCACGTAGATGACAACGATCGTGTAGGGTGGTATTGTATGAGATGTGATGGAATTTTTACAAGCTCCCCTTGAGTGCTACGATTTCTGATTTTCGTTCGTGACACTTTCTTCAATAAAACAGCAACAACAGGTGACAGAAATATTGTCTTTATTTTTTTACGATTTGTGTCTTTCAAATTGGGCATTCTCTGTGAGAATTGGTGTAAAACTTGTTGGTTTTGATAGCTGGTCCATGTATATTGGATGGGTTGATTGGTTAACGTTTCACTCTGGACCAGACACTCCTGTGATCAACACCTGAGTACGATCTACGCAATTGGGATACGATCACTCAACCAAGTCAGCCAGCCTTGTCCAGGGAGGCGAGGTAAACTAGGGTTTAACGTCGTACTTGAGACTGTTACGCTCATACGACGACGTGCATGCGTGTGTGTAGCTGCTTGTATACTAGCCCAGACCTAAGCTGGTTTTATAGTGCTAGCTCACTGAGATACCATGCCGCAGCGAATCATGAATACCCCACTCAGACACTATATACTGACTTCGAGCCGACCATTCCTTGTTTCACCCATTAATGCCGAGCGCCAGGCAGGGACCAACAAGTACCATATGTTACGTCTTTTGGTATGACGCGGCCGGGGATCGAACCCGCGAACTTCCGCTTGCTCTCCGGACGGACGCTCTAACAACTACACCACGGAGGCGGTTTGTCCAGAAGGACGTTTAGGTTGGTAGAACAACAGATTTTGATAGCTCGTTGCAATATGAGGCACAAAAAAATATAACTAGCTTCAATAAAGCTAGGCTGTTGGGTTAGAGTACAGACTTTGACGTATCATATTTAGTTTACTGTCACATTTACATTTTTTTCAAAGAGATTCACATTTAGTTGGGGCGGTGGGGTAGCCTAGTGGTTAAAGCGTTGGCTCGTCACGCCGCAGACCCGGGTTCGATTCCCCACATGGGCACAATGTGTTAAGCCCATTTCTGGTGTCCCCCGCCGTGATATTGCTGGAATATTGCTAAAAGCGGCGTAAAACTAAACTCAGTCAGTCAGTCAGTCACATTTAGTTCCTCGCATACATCAAGGAAATTCGCATTTAGTCAGTTAAGTTTATATTCCACTTCGCAACAACTGTCAAACCTTGTACTAGAATTAAAAGAAATATTTTAAGAATCTTGCAATGCAGTGATGAAACGACATTACATCTGGCTGGCTATTCTCGAAAAGTTCGTAGCCCTAAGAACCTCTTAAGCCAATTCTTAACACATTGGCTACGAATTCTGGTTGGTTTATGTGTTGTTTAACGCCGCACTCAGCAATATCCCAGCTATATGGTTGCGGTCTGCATGTAAATAATCGAGTCTGGTTCGGGCAATGCAGTGATTAACAGCATGACCATTGATCTACACAATTGGGCAGGGGCGGATACAGTTTTTTGAGAAAGAGGGTCACAGTTCATTTACACCGCCGACAATGGTCATAAATAAACTTTCAGGACAAAAGGGTGTGTGTGCGCACCCCTACCTCTCACACACACGGGCCGCCATATAGCTGGAATATTGCTGAGTGCGGCGTAAAACTAAACTCACTCACTCACACACACGCACGCACGCGCGGATGAATGCACATAGTCCATGGGCTGATATAGGTGACTCTCCCCAAACGGGGAATTTTGAAGACTATATTTTTTGAAAGCATATCATATGATCATATGTACATTCAAATTCCAGGTGTTTGCAGGCTGGGTGCGGGGGAATTTTCCCGCAGTGACCCCCCAAAAGGGGTCAGGGTGGGGAGAATTTGGGAAAATTAGTTTTTGCTTTTTTCACAAAATACATTCTAATAACTGCTTTCTACTTTCTATCAGGACCTATAACAATATTTAAGGTTTATTGAATAGTTACAGGTACAGGAAGACATTTACTTTGAAATATGCATTGCGTCTAAGGGAAAAATTAAACTTTATAGCTGTTTTTCTACACTTTCTAGTGGGCAATTGTTTTAAGAAGGTATTCTTGTTTCAATAGCTCTAAAATGATCAAAATTAATGTTACAGCTATACTTAAAGCATGAAAAGACTTTGAGATAGTTTATTGTAATCTGGGTGCTGGGGATTTTTCATGCCCTGACCCCCCAAGAGGGGGGCCAGGGGGTAAAAATTTGGAAAAATGAGTTTTTTTTTTTTTTCACAAAATACATTCTTATAACTGCCCTTTATCAGGAACAATGAAAATATCTAACATTTATTATTTAGTTAGAGGCACAGGAAGACTTTAAATTTGAAAAATGCATTGTGTCTAAGGGGGAAATCAGACTTGAATGCTGTTTTTCTACACTGTCTAGTTGGCAGTTGGTTAAAGTACGTATTATTTCTTCAATTGCTCTAAAATGATCAAAATTTATGTTACAGCTATACTTAAAGCATGGTGGTTTATTCTCACTTTGGCTTTTTATAACATTGAGTTACCATTACTTATATTTATGTACCTTTATGCCGAATCATCATAGCTTGTGTCCATAAGACTCTCAATCTCAACTTCGTCTGAATCCTCTATTCTACTCAAATCTAAGTTCTTGCTGGATATTATGTCAGTCAACTCTTGTGGAAGGATGTTGCCTATGGTCCATTGACATTTCAGAGCATTTACTCCCCCTTTCAGCCACCCTTAGCCCACAGGGTGAGCAACACTGGGGTATTCTTGTCAGCATTGACCAAGATCAAGGCCTGGTGATCTCACGCTGCAAGTGCATGTGTAGTGAGTCTCTGCAAGATGGAAGGAGTCTCATGTCTACACCATCATAGTTTGTCATAGTCTGTCCTCCCTTGGGTTTTAACTTCTTCATGAAGATTTGGCAGCGAGCCTCATTTACATTGTTTGTGACTTGACCATACATATGACAGACAATGGAGTCCAAAGACCTCAACAAGTCAGTAGTTATGTCATCAGAAAGTCCTATCTTGGAAAAAGCATTCACAAATTCAGGGTGAGATTCGAGAAGCTCAATGGGGAGAACTTTGCCGCGTCTGACAAAGGCACTGGTGGTATCACGTCCTGTAAATGCATGAAGGGCTGGCTGGACATTGCACAGAGTGGACCCTTTCAGATTGATGATACTTTGTACATCCAGAAGTCTTCGTTTGTCACCAGAGCCTTTGTCAAATAGAACAGAAGTTTTCACCTTTTCACCCCAGCACCCAGACTACAATAAGCCATCTCAAAGTCTGTTCATGCTTTAAGTATAGCTGTAACATTAATTTTGATCATTTTAGAGCTACTGAAACAAGAATACCTTCTTAAAACAATTGCCCACTAGAAAGTGTAGAAAAACAGCTATAAAGTTTATTTTTTCCTTAGACGCAAAGCATATTTCAAAGTAAATGTCTTCCTGTACCTGTAACTATTCAATAAACCTTAAATATTGTTATAGGTCCTGATAGAAAGCAGTTATTAGAATGTATTTGGTGAAAAAAGCAAAAACTAATTTTCCCAAATGTTTCCCACCCTGACCCTCTTTGGGGGGTCACTGCGTTAAAAATTCCCCGCACCCAGCCTGCAAACACCTGGAATTTGAATGTACATATGATAAGCTTTCAAAAAAATATAGTCTTCAAAATTCCCCGCGTGTGTGTGCGTGTGCGTGCGTGCGTGTGTGTGTGAGAGACCTATATTAGCCCAAGGACTAACATCACTATATGACGCCACTTATTTAACGTTTTGGCCTCACCTTAACAAGTGGCAAGGTTGTTAAATAGTTGTTGATACCATTTGGCAACCAAACTAACAGAGCATTCCCGTATTTAGAGACCTTTCATAATTTATGGTTCAATTTTTATGTACGAAGTATAAGTGACAACACCACCCACCCACCTCTCTCTCTCTCACACACACACACACACGCGCGCGCGCGCGCACGCACGCACGCGCACGCACACACACACACACACACACACACACACTGCACAAAACCAATACCTCCCCAGAGCAAAATGGGTGACCACACCCCTCTCTTATAATCATCACACCACCCCCTTTTTTACTGGTAGCAGAGACCATATAATTTATACCATTGCTTGTTCATATCGGAAGTAGTTCCTTCATTTATCTCGACGACAACATCGTTTCTCTGATAAAAGACCACCGGTATCTGAGACAGAAATAAACGTTTTGGCGCCTGATACATTGAACCAGGGAGAATAGAAGACGTAGACTATACCTGATTGAACAAACGAGATTGTGGATTTGCTTCAAAGTAATATTTTTACCAGTTACGTTTGGTGCCGTTTTACGGCGATGTCGCGTTTGTTAACCCTCGCGATCTTGTGGCGTTCTGGTCGCGTGTATGATGGCTTCGACAAAACCGGACGTCTTACGGGTAAACAGTAAATAATGTTTATATAACATTAATTAACAGTTAGTTATTCATAATTAGTTATTCATGTGTTACACTCTCAAGGTGCTTCTAGCGTCCGTGGTAACATCGACACGTCTTGCCCGTTGTTTTGCACTCGAGTAAACGGGAGGCAGGGCAAAATAGACCAACAACAAAACGGTCTTTGTGATTTGATCAAAACGCCTCTTTTCATTCACACCTGACCACTGTTTACCTATACTGCCAGGAAACAATCAGATTGAAAGCTAAGACGATTGAACGATTAAATATCCACTGTCATTTTGACTGTAATAATGGACCAGAAAACCAGTGATCAACAGCATGAGCATCGATCTACACAATTGGGATATGATGAGATGTGACAGCCAAGTTAGAGAGTCTGACCACCTGATCCCATTAGTCACCTCTGACAACAAGCACGGGATGCTGAAGACCAATTCTAACCCTGGATCTTCACCGCCAGTCAGTGTCATATGTCGACAATGTGGGTGATTTAGAAACTACAGATAGAAATGCAATTATTTCCAAGGGTGCCATTGGGCATCAGACAGTTAATTTTGGTGTGTCTTTGTGAAAGGTATGCCAAAACCTTCTGATGGTCCAGTTAAACTTAAAATCACAACAATTATGTCATTTCACTTTGTTCAATAAATCAGTAAACATCATGTAATCCTGTAAACTTGAGAACTAGATTTCCTGAACACAATTATGACTGCCAGAATAGACCAGCTTCTTTTGTCCTGGATCCGTAAACTAACCAACAAACTGTACGTTATCATCTAAAACAGGATTCCCTGTTATGCACATTAGCATTCAAAATATGGCCACACCCATGCTAATCTATGCAAGATTGAGAGTGCCACCAACAAACAGTTTGACAGGTTGAAAAAATAGTTTTGAATCATTCGAGTTGTCAGATTTATCACATTTTCCATGAACTGAATCATGGTGTGAATTATTTTAACAATTTTAGTCATGCAGCTAGGGCACCTTGAACATATTTCGTCCACTGCTATTTCAATATTTACCATGCCACGGCATGGAAATTAAGCACTATTTCGATCCCTGAACTATTGGAAACAATGGAAAGAGCAAGACTGAAGCTGATGGTAAAAGCTACCCCAAACCTATGCCTGCATGAAAACAACCTCTGAAGATCTGGTTAGAATTAGCCTTCAGTAACCCATGCTTGTTGTTAAAGATGACTAACGGGATCGGGTGGTCAGGCTTGCTGACTTGGTTGAGACGTGTCATCGTATCCCAATTGTGTAGATTGATGCTCATGATGTAAATCACTGGGTTTGTCTGGTCCGTCTCCATATAGCTGGAATATTGCTGGGTGTGGCCTCAAAGTGGAATATTGCTAATAGCTGCGTGCCTAAAAAAGAGCAGTAGTTGGAACAGTGAAACAAATGCACGATTGCACTAGCGGTTGAAAGTGATGAGCGTTAACTTAGACCAGACAAAACTCTACTTGTTCTCAGGTGTGCATACCCCTTGTAATACAAACCAATAATAGCAATTTGAAACTATGATAGTTTGTTAAACAACTTTTATCCTAAGTTGAATAGAATTCTGAGATTTTAATGTTCATTTGACAAGGTAAAATTGGGAGGACAAGCAATCAAACAATTCCACTTTATCCGATTTACTATTTTGTTTATGAATTGAAATTCATCGGTGCGTTTTCACTGCAAACAGACTAATTAGCTGCATGACCATACAGTTATGATGAGTGTAATATTGAGTTAATGCAGTTTACTGTACCTTGTATTTCAGATACTGTGTTTACATGGATATAGGTGAGTAGATTATTCGAGATGGAAATGCAGTGTGTGTGAGTGAGTGAGTTGAGGTTTACAAAGGTTTTAGCAATTTTCCAGCATTATTGGGTGGTCAGGCGTGCTGACTTGGTTGACACATGTCATCATATCCCAATTGCATAGATCGATGCTCACGATGTCAATCACTGGATTGTCTGGTCCAGACTCGATTATTTACAGTTTCCATATAGCTTGAAAATTGCTGGGTGGAGCGTTAAACAACAAACAAACAAGCATATTGATCTCCTATTCTGAAATTGACAGGCTGAGATGTCTGAATTCTGTCCCACATATTTCTTATGAAGTTGTAGTGTTTTGTTCAGTTCAGTGGCTAGGCATAAAAATTTTCGGAGTCATATGACTCCCTAGTGTCATGAGAGGGAGTCAAGGTGAGGTGAGTTTGGTTTCACGCTTTTAGCAATATTCCAGCAATATCACGGGCGCGGGGACACCAGAAATGGGCTTCACACATTGTACCCATGTGGGAATCGAACCCTGGTCTTCGCGGACGAGCTTTAACGCTTTAACCACAAGGCTACCCCACCTCGCCCCAGGGAGTCAAGGACATGTTTTGGGGAGACAACTTCAGTTTGGAACTTTCATCAAGACATCAACTGTGATTGTTTAATAACGACAAAACACAAGGCAAGGCAGTCCGTGTTGAAAATAACCCGTCCCGGGCGGTCGGACAGGCAGGTATTTCGAACGCTGCTGATTTATAGGCCTTTCCTGAATATGTCATGGGATGTTGAGTTTCTCAGGGTAGATGGTAGATCGTTCCACACTTATGCAGACAATGATAGAATCTCAATGTTGAACTTTGCTCAAGGACCCTTTGTTCTAAAACTTCTCACAAACAATCCAGGTGAGCTAAGATGGCACAATATGGTGGTCTTTTTATCATTTTATGTTAAAGTTTTATCTTCATTACAGGCAGAATGGACAGACTTTCAGGGAACGTACTGGAGCATTTAGGAAGATTATCAAGAAACATGCAGAATTGGGTGAGAATGAGTTTTATTGATGATGTTGATGATGATGATGATAAAAATGCATTAGGCACTGATCACGAACTCGGTTTCAGCAAATTATTAATGGGGTGACGAATGTTTACCAACGACATGATATATACATACATCTATATATTGGACTTTTACTCTATATTTCATTTTAATTTCTGTTGAAATTTTAAAGTGTTTCCATGGCAACAAAACAATGTTCTTTGCATCTGAGATTCCATAAACAGAAAAACGCTTAGACCAGGACCACTCAGACTGTTGTTTCCTGACTGCCTGGCAGCAGAATAGACTTGTTTGTGTTTGTTGTTTAACACCACATACAGCAGTATTCCAGATGAAAATGTCATTAAGCCTTATATGTAGGTTATATATGTATTATGTATATTGCAGTGTTCATCACAGCACCACACATTGTACCACCAGTGAAGGGTTCAGAGGACGGAGAAGCTCAAAATTCAGGTAGGTAAAAATATCTTGTCTTCCCTTTTGTTTCATCTGTTTTGCTGCAACATTCATTAAGATTCTCTCCATGAGGGAGTAACATGAGTGAGTGAGTGCATGGATTTATATGGAGTCTTGTATTTGAGGGTCCCTGGGACTCATACTCTTAATTTTCAGGGGTCCTGGACTACAAAATGGGGGTCCCAGACACTTTAATATTATTATTAATACTGTTATTGTGTATCATGATCATCACATTGTTACAGTAATTAAATTGCAAATAATACCATAACCCAGCTAGTAACAAACTCAGTGATAACTTGTTGTCACTTGATTGGAATTTTTACAAAGAGTATTTTGACTTTTCCTGAGTCCCTCTGGACGTGCTTATAAATTTTGTTGCGTCCATTGTCAATTTCTATGCGTATAGAATGCAGGAATTAGCGTCCTGTAAATCTCTGTGAGTGAGTGATTTGGGTTTTACACGGCAGGGGACGCCACACATTGTATACATGTGGGGAATTGAACCCGGTCTTCGGGTGACGAGCGAACGCTTTAACCACTACGCTACCCCACCAACCCCCTCACCATGAACTATCTTGACATGATTTTCTAGTTTAGTAGATAAAAGAAACCTACAAATGCAGCCAATAGGTACAAGCTCCACCTTTTTTTTAAGTTTTAGGGCTGGCTAATGATATAGATCATAGAGATTGATAGTTGTTAACTAAATATCGACTGATTATTGATACATATCATAGAAGAGATTTTGAGCCAAAATGTCAAAAGTGTCTGAAAGAGATCAACATATTTCACACCACTGGTGTGCCAGACAGTGAATGAGTTAGGCTGAGTTTGTGAGTTTAGTTTTGAGTTAGGCAGTGAGTTAGGCTGAGTTCAGGAGTTAGGCAGTTCAGGAGTTAGGCTGAGTTCAGGAGTTAGGCTGAGTTCAGGAGTTAGGCAGTTTGTGAGTTAGGCAGAGTTTGTGAGTTAGGCTGAGTTTAGGCTGAGGTGAGTTAGGCAGTTTGTGAGTTAGGCTGAGGTTAGGGAGTTAAGCAGTTTGTGAGTTAGGCAGTTCAGGAGTTAGGCTGAGTTTGTGAGTTAGGCAGTTTGTGAGTTAGGCAGTTTGGGAGTTAGGCTGAGTTCATGAGTTAGGCAGTTCGTGAGTTAGGCAGTTTGGGAGTTAGGCTGAATTTGGGAGTTAGGCAGTTCGAGAGTATGGCAGGTCGGGAGTTAGGCTGAGTTCTTGAGTTCAGCAGTTTGTGAGTTAGGCAGTTCGGGAGTTAGGCTGAGTTCGGGAGTTAGGCAGTTCGTGAGTTAGGCAGTTCTTGAGTTAGGCAGTGAATGAGGAGATCAACCTTAAAGAAGGTACATAACTCATGTCTTGTGTTTCTCACCCCACTTCCTGGCTTCCAGATGAGCGAGGATGGTGGTTTTCACAGGAGGACGACAGTTACAATGCCCAAGAAGTCAGTCAGTGCTGCAAGGGATATGATGAATCTGTGGAACTTGTCAAACAGTCAATAGTGGAACAGGTAAAACCACCAGAATCCTTAAAGACTGTTTGAGACATTGTTGAGGAGAGGTGAGTGATTTGTGTATGGGTTTATGTCGCTTTTACCAATAATCCAGCATGCCGGGGGACTCCAGAAATGGGTTCACACATTGTACCCATGTGGGGATTCGAAACCAGTCTTCAGCATGGTGAGGGGACGCTTTCTGTTTGCCACATGAACCATTAGGCTACCCAACAGCCATGTTGAGGAGAGATGTTGTAAATATTCATTCTGTTCCTGCCACATGAACTCTTCATACGAATACTGCATGCTTAGTGGAACATACTTGGAGAATATGGTGGCAATTGTTGCACGTGCAGACACTGGATTTTCACATGAAACATCGCAATGATTGTGTAGGATTTTTGCTTGCTGGAGCAAATGTAGGTTTTTCGTTCATAGGAGCAAGACAAACATTACTTTTCACTCTTGTGGTGCCAATATTCATGGTAGTTATGAATCTTGTTGACCAATATTCATGGTCTTTATATATATATCGCCTCCGTGGTGTAGTGGTTAGAGCGTCTGCCCGGAGAGCGGAAGGTCACAGGTTCGATCCCCGACCGCGTCATACCAAAAGACGTTAAAATATGGTACTTGTTGGTCCCTGCCTGGCGTTCGGCATTAATGGCTACAACAAGGACTGGTCGGCTCGGAGTCAGTATAATGTGTCTGAGTGGGGTATTCATGCTTCACTGCGGCATGGTATCTCAGTGAGCTAGCACTATAAAACTAGCTTAAGTCTGGGCTAGTACAAGCAGCCGCACATTTCACCTCACCTATATTTCGTGGACCAATAATTGTGGTCCTAATAGAACTAAAACGTGTACATGCTTGTATAATTTGTTAGCATAGTTTCCATATTTTCATTCATTCAACGAAAGCAGTTACACAATATGTTTGTTACAAATATTTCTTGATATTCAACATGAAGTATTCATGAGTAAATAGTTTGTACAAGTCACCCTCTATTCATGAAACATATTGTATTCACCTTGTAGTATACTAGTATTCGCTGCAGCCCTAATTGACGTCAGCACTGTGCCCTTTCTTCCAGGGCCCGTTTGATGGGATCCTTGCATTCAGCCAGGGAGCCTGCTTGTTGTCGTTAGTTTGTTGTCTGCAAGAAAGAAACCCAGGTAGGTACATTGGCAGTAAAATGTTGCTGTGCTGTAAGTGATATTTAAGTTCAGTCCTGATCACGAGTGAGGGAAAAACATAATAGCGTGTCGCTGAGAGACCCTGCTGTGGTCATAGATAGGGGAGAGTAGTTCTTTCTTGAAGTTTTGAAAAGCAAACCTGTGAAAATCCACGATAGACATGGTCTTCAGCAACCCATGCTTGTCGTAAAGAGGCGACTAACGGGATCGGGTGGTCAGACTCGCTGACTTGGTTGACATATCATTGCGTCCTAATTGTGTGTGTTGATGCTCATGCTGTTGATCCCTGGAGTGCGGCCTTAAACAACAAGGAAAGGAAGAAACAAAACAAATCTTAAAAAGTGTAGTTTAACTGATCTGGGTGCCGTTGTACAAAGCGATCTTAGTGCTCGGGTGACCGTAACTCCCATACTTTAACATAGACTTCAGGTAGCCTTAGCGCTAAGGTTGTTTTGTACAACGGCACCCTGTTCTTAAGGAGGTTCCATAAAAGCTGAAGTCCATTAAGGAAGAGAAGGAGGAGGTCAGTTTGTGAATATATTTGATACATTCCATCTTCAGCGAGGAATCCTTCAGAAAATTTTAACTGAGAAGAAAATCCCTGTAAAACGCTGATCTATATCCCCACCAATGTTCACAGCCAGTCAGCCAGCCTGATCACCTACCCATTAGACTTCTCTTCAACACACAAGGGTTCCGATTAATTCTTACCCAGAATTACAAGAGCCACCTATTGGTGAGATTGGTGTGAAAAGGGAATTTAAACCAGGAACTTCTTGTAAACCTGATCATGAACCTGTTTCTTTCTTTTTCCACAGATCTTTTCAAGTTTAACTTTGCTATTTTTGTGGCGGGATTCAAGAGCAGATCCATACCTCATGAAAGTTTCTATGAAACAGTAGTTACGATACCAACGCTACACGTGTTTGGAGACACTGACAAGGTTATACCGAAAGGTAAATGTTTTCCTGTATTATATTTTTGCTCTATTATGTGGCAAGAAGACTTTTTTCTTGTTTATATGACACAATGCCGAAGCAATATTCCAGCTGCATTACGGCAATCTCAATATCTGAGTCTAGGCCAGACAAACCAGTGATAGATATTAGTGCTGGCTATCAATATAGATCACAGAGATCAATAGTTGTTAACTAAATATTCATCACTAATCGATAAGGTGAGGTGAGGTGAGGTGAGGTGAGGTGAAATTGGGTTTAACGTCGTGCTTGAGAATATTTCGCTCATATGACAACGTGCATGCGTGTGTATGTGTATGTGCGGCTGCTTGTAGTAGCCCAGACCGAAACTGGTTTTATAGTGCTAGCCCACGGAGATATCATGCCGCAGTGAAGCATGAATACCCCACTCGGACACATTATACTGACTCCGAGCCAACCAGTGCTTGTTGTACCCATTAATGCCGAGAGCCAGGCAGGGACCAACAAGTACCATATTTTAAAGTCTTTTGGTGTGACGCAGTCGGGGATCAAACCCGCGACCGTCCGCTCTCCAGGCGGACGCTCTGACCACTACACCACGGGGGCGGTCAATAATCGATAAGTATCGCTGAGGTAACTCTAAGCAAAATCGTAAAATTTCACACCACTGGTTAGTGGTGACATGTTATAGATGGATTACCAACAAAACAGCATCCTGAACATAATTTAGAAGCATCCCATAAATAAAGACGAAGCTTTGTGTATTGTGTGATTGAATTAACACTATTTTTCAAAGCAAATGTTTGTCTGCGATCCTATCAATGGAAACATTTTGAATATCACTTAAATGAAACAAAATTGTATAAATAATAACAATAATTATTTAGAATTCTTCCCATCAACGATATTTCTGATTATCATCTATTTAGCCAGACCTTATGAATATCATGAGCAATAACAGTCAGCCCAATTGTCAATTATTTACACACTGCCGCGATCAGTGTTCGAAATAGCCACTGGCCCGCTAGCCCGTGGCTAGTAAAAATCCATTTGGGCCAGTAAATCTCCACAGTCATTGGCCTGACTATCTAGTGAATTTTCATGGGATCTTTTTGTAAATATATCACGTTCTCTGACTTGTTAAGTTATAACACACTTTTAAATCATGCAAGATTATGGCTGATAAACATGTTCAACATATTAGCAGCTTTATGATGAAACCCATGTCTACATTCAAATTTTGGACTGGTTAATTATTTTGTGGGCTAGTAACTTTCAGGCATAGCTAGCCCGACTGACTAGCAAAATTTGGAAACTATTTAGCACACTGGTCGCGATATAGATGAAATATTGCCAAGTGTGGCCTTAAACAGCAAAACAAAAATCGTGTTTTGGAATCCTTGTTAAAGTGTGGATGCTATTGTTTCAGAAATGAGTGAAGCACTTCTGCCTAGTTACAAAGAGCCTGTGATTCTACAGCATCCTGGCGGACACTTCATCCCTGCATCCTCACAACAGAAACAAGTCTACCTCCAGTTCCTGGATAAAATGGCTGCTATGAAGTCCTAGTCAATTGGGGGCGGTGGGGTAGCCTAGTGGTTAATGCGTTTGCTTGTCTCACCGAAGACCTGGTTCGATTCCCTGGAGGGTACAATGTGTAAAGCCCATTTCTGGTGTATCCGCTGTGATATTGCTGAAATATTACTAAAAGCTAAACTCACTCACTCAGTCTTGGTCAATTGGGAGATAAACATTCTGCCTTAGTGGATGTCAGTGATATTCTTGAAGCAGTTATTTATTGACATTCCAGGATTTGACCTTGACCTTGGCAGTGTTTCAACAGGGACGCCACTGAAATGATTACAAGGTCTTTCCATAACATTTAAAGATCCTGAAAGTACTTAAGTGGTTCAGTGAATCATTTGATTTCTTAAAGTACAGGATTTTTTTATTGCTTGCAAAGAATTTGGTACAATGAATATTTGTGCTTCTCTTGGGGTGAGCAGTACTATTTCTTTGTTCTTTCTATACATTTATGTACTTGGTGGCGTTGGTACGCTTTTACGGGGTGGTGGCGTAGCCTAGTGGTTGAAGCGTTGACTCGTCACGCCGAAGACCCGGGTTCGAATCCCCACAAGGGTACAATGTGTGAAGCCCATTTCTGGTGTTCCCCACGGTGATGTTGCTGGAATATTGCTAAAAGCAGCGTAAAACCAAACTCAGTCAGTCAGTCAGTGGTAAGCTTTCACATGCTGTGTAAAGACGTTGCAAAATACAATAGTTGTCAGTAGTTTTCTATCGGCTCTTTCCCGCCTAATGAATTCACAGCTGTGAGACAGACAAGTGGTCACTCTGGAATGCCATATCTAGGTACTGAAAGTTTTTGTGGTCGTATTTTACAAATTTTGCTGTCCTGTCAAATGAGGAGATGGGTTTTAACAGTATCCTCATTACAACTAAATTTGGGACGAAAGTCAGAAGTGACGAATGTCTCAGATGATGTTGAGATATAACAGCTGAGAACCAGGATTTGAACCCACGATCTTTAGTTCCTGGCGTGCAAAAGAGAAGTAACTCTGTACAACCAGGTAAAATATAATGCCTTGCTCGACTGAGACACCCTTGCTCCCATGTTGAATTAAGATAAAATGTATTGTGTGGCATGTTACTTCACAGCAAGCCAGAAAATGATATTCACCTGTAAAGAGGTGACCAAATATTGAATTGCTGTTAAACAAACATTCAGTCTTCATGAATATATATTTGTGAGACAGACAAGATGTCACTCTGGAATGACATATCACACTGGATAATCTGGTTCCTGGATCTATATACTAGCCCGTGGCTAGTAAATATCGGTCGGGCTAGTAAATCTTCACAGGCACTGGCCTGACTGGCTAGTGAACTTTCATGTAAATATGTCACTCTTACCAACTTGTTAAGTTAAAATACCCTTTTAAATAATCCAAGATTATGGCCTGATAGAATTGTTCATGGTATTAGCAGCTTATTGATGAGTTATGTAAGTTATTTCAGCATAAACAAAATATTTCAGAAATTCAGACATGTGTCCGAGTACGATCTGCGCAATTGGGAACCAATGACATGTGTTAACCAAGTCAGCGAGCCTGACCACCCGATCCCGTTAGTCGCCTTTTACGACAAGCATGAGTTGCGGAAGATCAATTCTAACCCGGATCTTCACGGGTTGATCTAGCAAGGAGGCTCAAGCTTTTAATTGTTAAATAACCGCTCCGTGGTGTGGTGGGTTGTGCGTCCGTCGGAACACCAGAAGGTGGTTCGATCCAAGGTTGGTGGTGTCATGCAAAATGACGTTAAAAGATGACACTTGTTACTCTGCTGGGCTCTCAGCTTTAATGGAATATAACATTGATTTGTTTGTTGTTTAACTCCACGCTCAGCAATATTCCAGCTAAATGGTGTCTGTCTGTAAATTATCGAGTCTGGGGACCAGACAATCCAGTGATCAAAATCATAAGAATCGACATACACAATTTGGATACAATGACATGACAACCAAGTCAGCGAGCCTGACCATCCGATTCCTTCAAGCATGGGTTACTGAAGATCAGTTCTAACCTGGATCTTTAGGAGTATGGAATAAAAGAAGAATTAATCTGTTCACACACACGCGCGTGCGCACACAAACACACACAAGCAAATTCGTTCTATGGACATACTAAATACTCTGAAAAATAATGTGTTTATTAATGTCACGAGTGGATCCACGATGCAGTCTCTATACATAACAAAAAGAGATCACACAATGATTTAAGACCAGTTTAATTCAATTAGACTAAATATATTTTACAGGAGGTAAAATCAGCGTTCGAAGTTACCGTCGGTCCTTAGGCCCGAAGCCGACTGAAACCACTCAGACCCACAGCTTTTGTTTTCTGCAGGTCCTTATGGCCGACAGCTTTTTCATCCCCAATAACTATGAGTATTTTTTTTATTATTATTAAAATATAGGGCCTACACATTCTGACCAGGGCCCACAACTTTTGATGGTTCTGGGTCCTTAGGGCCTGCAGCTTTTCAGGGTTAAGGGCAAATACTGGGTTAAAAAAAAGAGCAAGTATCTGTGAGAAGAGAAAGTCTTACTTCTGGCAAAATCATCATCTATATGTTCCAACAAGATCCACTTAATGTTAACACATAAATCTATCATACCAAATGAGAAGCACAAAGTACTTCGTTTACATAATGCTCACGTGGCATATTCAATTTAATCTTTATTCCCTGACGATATACATGTATCTCATCCCTTTATAACACTCCCGACCAGGGCCCCGTTCCTCAAAGCGAGGGGCGGTGGGGTAGTCTAGTGGTTAAAGCGTTGGCTCGTCGCGCCGAGGACCCGGGTTCGAATCCCCACATAGGGAAATGAGTGAAGCCCATTTCTGGTGTCCCCCGCCGTGATATTGCTGGAATATTGCTAAAAGCGGCGTAAAACCAAACTCAGTCAGTCAGTCAGTCCTCAAAGCGATCGTAGCACTAAGCTGATCGTAACTCCCATACTTTAACATAGACTTACAACTGTCGTAGCGCTACGATCGCTTTGAGGAACGGGGCCCTGGGAGCTGAACACATTGTCATCCACTTGCTTGAAAAAGACCAACAAGAAAGAAGAAGCTACAATTAGGTAACTCCCTTTATTGTCAGCTCAGCTGGAACATACATAATGGAAAATTGTCACTGTTGAGTGAATGAGTTATAGATTTTAATCCGCTTTTAGCAATATTCCAGCAACATCACGGCGGGAGAAATCAGAAATGGGCTTCACACATTGTACCCATATGGGGAATCGATCCTGTGTATTCGGTGTGACGAGCGAACGCTTTAATCACTAGGCTACCCCACCGCCCCGTGTCACTGGTAACAATCTCCACACAAGTGACATGATATAGATTCAAAATACAGTTTCTCATAAACAAAATCAAAGAAGTCTGTCTCTCCGATATTAATTTTTTTTAAAATCCCACTAAATACCTCAGAGAAGTTAACGGACACAAAGCATTTCATATTGTAGTTCAGTCTAAGTAAACTTTGGCTCAGTATTATTCGTTACACTGAGTCCAGTATAGCAGGGGTGGTGGGGTAGCCTAGTGGTTAAAGCGTTCTGTCGTCACGCTGAAGACCCGGGTTCGATTCCCCACATGGGTGCAGTGTATGAAGCCCATTTCTGGTGTCCCCCGCCGTGATATTGCTGGAATATTGCTAAAAGCGGCGTTAAACTAAACTCACTCACTCAGTATAGCAGTGTAACGAATAATACTGAGCCTAAGTTTACTTTGACTGTATTGTAGTTAATCTGTCAGTTAATAAAACAAAAACAAGAAAATGTTTGGGGCACAAAATTATTACAGATAATGACAGAGCTTCTGGTAATTTTTTGGGTCATTGTGTTAGGTACTCGCTTGTGTTCATCTCAGACGGATAATTTATTTGAGTCTCACCTCATCATCATACATATGTACATAGAAGGGAATAATAAAACGTTGAGCCAATCTTTACAGACTTATGAGAGACTATATCATATAAAATACAAAACTAAAAGAATATAGGATATATAATATATATTTACAGTACGAATATAAAAGGGCATGTCGACGCCGAATGATAAGAAAGCAGGTTTGGGCTTTATTAAAAGACACTTGTGGATTGGACAGTAAAAATCTCAGTTGGGTATTCTAATTTTCATTTGAGTGACCAAATAAATTGAACCCACCTCACTCAAACTTAATTCGGTATTTTGCATTTTTTCCATTAATAGTCAAAACATAATCAAAGTTTTAATTGTTGGTTTATGTCATACCTAACCAAAACCAACTTTTTTATTTATATTTGATCTGTAATATGAGAAACGATAAGGAAGACTGCAAGTTGCCAAGTTCAGGTGCTGAAACAGAACCTCTCAATATACCTCAGTTGTTTTATCTATTTTTTGTTTGTACGTATGTAAGATCAAATGTATTGATTATTTACAAAAATTCAAGCGTACTTGTACGCAAATAGACTTAATAGGAATTGAGTTTTCACAAATATTTGCGTAATGTATGCAGATACGTAGCTTATCTGTACCTCTGTAAAATAAACAATGGTTGGCTGGTTATTGCAGATGCTCCCCCCAAAATGCGCCATTACTGAAATTGTTTGGCACCTCCCTTCAAATTAGTAGAACAATATGCATGTCTGTAAGCAGTGATCGGGGAAATTCTCTTTGTAACAAAATATAATAAAGAAGTTGTCATCCATAAAATATCCTGTCTTTTTGTTGCTCATCAACTTTTAAAATCAGTCTAAGTAATACTGAAATACACAATGCCATTTTTACTAAGAAAGCGTAATCCTAAATATAACATACTTAGTAATACTGAGCCTAAGTTTACTTAGACTGCTTTTAAAATGCCAATTAAACAGAAAATCCTGATCTTTCAAATAGATTACCATGTTGTTCTCTACGCATGTGTGTTCTACTGTTGTCACGTGTCATTACTTTGTGCATATTTCGTATCCTGAAAGGTAAATGGTCCTACTTTTACACTTTAGTTGCAGGTGAGGGCCCGTTCACCTGTAAAAACTGGGTCAACGCATTTTACTGAATCTAATAATCTGTTCACTTCTACAGTTATTTGAGCATTATCGACAATAACTGTCATTTCAAAACCTTAACTCTTTTTAACGAAACTGTATTATAAAATAAGTGGCTTGTTATATAACCATATCCATCTTGATATGCGCAGACGCAGTAAAAATACCGACAATAGTAGACATGACCCAGTCTAAAATTCGCGACACGGTCACGTGATCTTCAGGTACGAAAACGCAGGTGAAAATCAAGGTGTAGTTACCTCTTTCAGTGTGGTTTCGCCTTGATATTTTGCGATCGCATGGTGTCACAATAAGCACGATCGTCCAAAAATGGATAGAATATTAATTCTGGTGTTTGCGGCCGCTCTGGTGACAACAGGTGAGTTGAGGGGACAAAAGTAACGCTGTTTCATGTTGGTATTTCCGGATTCGGTTTAAAATGGCGGCCGAGAAAATTATGTTGACAGAAAATGAATTCTAGTTCACGTGCTGAGTTAGCCTGAGGTCAAATAGTCTTTTATTTCCTCACAAATTAAACATTAAATAGTTTATATTTAACTAAAACTGTCCTGCGAAAATTGAAAATGGAAGAAAGCATTCTTGGGCCCCATTTTTGTTTAATTAGTCACCCTGGAAGATACAAAAACATGAATTAAGTCATATATCATCATCGAGTAGGCTTATAGCTTTTATTCCCCATCAGCATGTAGGGTTAAAGTAGACCCCTGGGCAACAAGGCTTATCATGCTTATGTTGGTAGGGGAGTACTGCACTTTACCGGGCGCACTTTTTCAGATTATAATTAGCGCAGCTGGGGTTCCCTAACCCTAACCCTAACCCTTACCCTAAGGATCCTAACCCTAAGGATCGCCTAACCCTAAGGATCGTAAAGGGTGCCTAACCCTAAGGATCGTAAAGGGTGCCTAACCCTAAGGATCGTAAAGGGTGCCTAACCCTAAGGATCGTAAAGGGTGCCTAACCCCAAGGATAGTAAAGGGTGCCTAACCCAAAACCCTAAGGATCGTAAAGGGTGCCATACCCTAACCCTAAGGATCGTAAAGGGAGCAGCGAGGGGTGCGCCTGGTGAAAGTGCATTCTAGCCCTTGGTAGTGCTAATTGGCTCTGCCCACTGACAGCAACATTTGCAGCAGAGATCTGACCTGCCTCATCCTAAGGGCTTAGTTGACTAATTGTTAAGGTAGGTTATCTCCAACTCTGTTCTTAGCCCTCGGTTCCCATTTCAAATCAACTAACCCCTTCATGATCATTAGGTGTAGGTACCCCTTTCCAATTAAACACCAATTAATGATTGTTATGGTTAGGCCACCCTTTCCAATTAAACACCAATTAATGATTGTTAGGGTTAGGCCACCCTTTCCAATTAAACACCAATTAATGATTGTTAGGGTTAGGCCACCCTTTCCAATTAAACACCAATTAATGATTGTTAGGGTTAGGCCACCCTTTCCAATTAAACACCAATTAATGATTGTTAGGGTTAGGCACCCTTTCCAATTAAACACCAATTAATGATTGTTAGGTATAGGTACCCCTTTCCAATTAAACACACCAATTAATGATTGTTAGGTTTAGGTACCCCTTTCCAATTAAACACCAATTAATGATTGTTAGGTATAGGTACCCCTTTCCAATTAAACACACCAATTAGTGATCGTTAGGTATAGGTACCCCTTTCCCATTAAACACCAATTAATGATCATTAGGGTTAGGTACCCCTTTCCAATTAAACACACCAATTAATGATCATTAGGGTTAGGTACCCCTTTCCAATTAAACACACCAATTAATGATCATTAGGTTTAGGTACCCCTTTCCAATTAAACACCAGTTAATGATCATTAGGTTTAGGTACTCCTTTCCAATTAAACACCAGTTAATGATCATTAGGTTTAGGTACCCCTTTCCAATTAAACACCAATTAATGATCATTAGGTTTAGGTACTCCTTTCCAATTAAACACACCAATTAATGATCGTTAGGTTTAGGTACTCCTTTCCAATTAAACACCAATTAATGATTGTTAGGTGTAGGTACCCCTTTCCAATTAAACACCAGTTAATGATCCTTAGGGTTAGGCCACCCTTTCCAATTAAATCCCCTTATACAATCCTTCGGGTTATTTGTGGTATAGGATAAAGTTTGCTATCCCTTACCAAATTATCTGAAGTTATTTTAGGTAACTCTGTACAATTTTGTATCAAGTCCAATGGATAAAATTATGCGCATTCCATTGTTTTAATCTGGTAGGAGTTGATTTACATGTTTGGAATCATAGAAACAATATATGATAATAGATCATTTGCACTGTTGTCTTAATTTCTTTTGAAAGGTTAGTCCAGAGCATGAGCTGTAACTACATTTAATTGTCCTCATAGAAGCATATATTTGAAATTGAAGGCGAGGATTTATGGCTATCAGCTTTTACATTTTGTAAAACATGTCGTTTCGAAATATATTCTTACACTTCATCAGTACTGGTGGTCCGATTAATTGAAACAATCAAAGAATGGTCACAGTGACTAAACGACCAAGCAATCGATTATGTTTTCTCATAATCGAACACAAACAATTCTGGAACACTTGTTTTCATTACCAATATTTTTCACAATGTTGGTTTTGTCTGTTACATTTCATAAGCATTACAAGTTTGTTTCAAGTCATGATTGAATTTATCTTAAAGACTCTAAGAAATTTATGTTCCTAACATACTAGTCATCCTTTAAAGATGTGAAATTTTGCCAAAAAACCCCCAAAAGAACTACATGTTTTTCCTTATTTTTATGTGCATTAACAAATGTTATTAATGACGCTAACCAATTTTTTTTCGATGATTGATCGGTTGTAATGAACCAATCATCAATTATGAGATTTTAACCAATTCCCAACAATATTAATCAGGTGGATTTGTGAATGATGGAGTAAGAATATACTTTGAAAGGCTGTGTTTCTCAAAATAGTGAAGTTGACATCCATAAATTCTTGCATTTATGTGTATCACTTCTAACTGCTGTTCGAAAACTTTGTGTATGAATTTTATAGCCAATTTAATATTTAAAGCCCTGAGAATTGGTTCAGAATCATATTAAATGTGTAAATACTAATACATTAGGTCCAGTGGATGTCCACTTGTCCTCAGCACAGTTTAGTAGTCTCAGATTTAACATGGTTTTGTTAAAGCATGTAGTTAGGAATAAAAAAATATTTTTTTAATTCTTATGTCATTCCATGATTCCAGTTGCTGCCCAGGACCCAGAAATTGTGGACGAAATTTGGCCAGAAGTTAAACCTGTTGGACGAACTGCTCGGCTCAACTGCACAGTGGCCAACAAACTAAGTCATGTGGTGAGTGTTTGTTGCCGCCAGTCTCAAATCTCCAGTGGGGTGATGAGTGTGACTTACTGAGTTTAGTTTTATGCCCCACTCAGCAATATTCCAGCTATATGGCGACGGTCTGTAAACAATCAATCATGTCAGCGAGCCTGACCACCCGATCCCCTTTGTCGCCTCTTACGACAAGCATCGGTTACTGAAGATCAATATTCTAACCCGGACATTCTCGGGTATCAGTGGGTGATGAGGTAGCCATGTTGTTAAAGCGTTCGCTCGTCATGCCAAAGGCCCGGGTTCGATTTTCCCACATGGGTACAATGTGTGAATCCCATTTCAGGTGTCTCACCGTAATATTGCCAAAACTAAAAACTCACCCAAACCTTCAGTGATGCGTGTTAGAAAAGAAGCGAATTATCTGATTGGGTGGTCAGGCTCACTAGCATGGTCACGCCGAAGACCCAGGTTCGAATCCCCACATGGGCACAATGTGTAAAGCCCATTTCTGGTGTCCCCAGCCGTGATGTTGCTGGAATATTGCTAAAAGCGGCGTAAAACCAAACTCAGTCAGTCAGTCACTAGCATGGTTGGTGCATGTCATCGTATCCCAATCGTTCAGATCGAAGCTCATGATGTTGACCACTGGATTTTCTGGTCCAGCCACTATAATACATTTCATGTATTGTGCATTTTTAGGCTAAATGAGGTTATGTAGCCGCTGTGTCAAGATTTTAGCATCAGTCAAAACATACATACTAAGATATTAGCGAAAACAATAACTGTATGCGCCAATGGTAGTTGCTCATGTAAACAAATCAATAGTCTGTCTCACAGTCCCTGAACCACATTAATTTCCCTACTGCCAAGCCCTGTCTGCAGTGCTAAAGCCCTAAATAAAGCAAGTCTAGATTTCCTCAGTTTCAGGAATCTCTGGTCTCCCTGGGGCTCCTTTTCAATATAAATGGGCTTGTTTGTTACTATCAAAATTATATATATTCAGAGACTAAGCCTTAGTCTAACAAATCAACTGTACGGGTTGTTGAAAAGGTACTGTACGGGTAGTTGGCTTCCTGTTATTTATCAACTGAAGAAGGACTTTGGTTTGAAGGAGGCAGCTGTGTATTGAATGACATATTTGGTCCCATGTTTCTCTTTTTCCATCTACGCAAACCTTTAAAGCAATGTCTCATAAATATTCTGAAATCTTAGCAAGAACCTCATTAAAGATACCTTGGCCATCTGTACATGTGTGCTTAAATGTGTTTTCAGCCTTATCCAAAATATGTCTTTATGGCACAGCAAAGTTAATCTTCGAATCCTCTGGCTTTAAGTCAACTTAATCTGATTCTTCCAAGTGACCTGATTTAATCCCACTCATCTTCAAGGTCACCATGACACTTTCACCACTTTTCAAATTCTTGTTAACGTTATATCGCATGCACTGTTGTACCCAATGTCTTCAAATTTGGTGACAGCCTACTTAAAGGAATTACGCAGACACCAGTTGATTTGGGTGACCTTGACCTTATCCTCAAGGTCACATGGTACTTTGACCACTTTTCAAACTTATATAAACACGATTTCATAAAACATTGCACCCAGTGTCTTCAGTTATGTCGACAGCATACATTGTGTGATTATGCAGACACCAGTCATTTCAGGCATCTTGTATGTGACCAAAAATAGAAAGTAGTAAATATTTTTTAAATATTTCATTCTTCTTTAGCCATTAGTGGCAAACGCTTGTTTTTTTCTGTATTCATGGCAACAATTTGGACTTTGTCTTTTTGAAAGGTAAAGTTCGTTTTGAGAGCATAATTCTAAAACTGATTGACCCATCTTCACCAAATTGGCTATACCGCCTCTCCAATATATCATGTAGATGTGCCTTTTGGGGGTTTGAACTTTTCTTTCAATTTTACCTTTTTCTGTTTCAATTACTTTTTCTGTTGGAACTTTGAATTTGGGGAAGGGACATCTGTTTTTATGAGTAAAACACTTTCTAATTGGATATGGTTTCGACATCAAAGTGAAGGTTGAAGAGGAGGGACATGTACTGTACAGTTTATGTAGGAATTAGGTACCAAATGGATGGATGTAGTGCATATACGTTTAAGCTTTGATGAAATAAGATACTGTTGGAAAGGCGACCAACTCCAGTTGAATGTTATACAGTTTGGTTATGTGGTAACACTTTTTGTACAATATATACGTTTTATCAAACTGCAACATCATTACAGTGTGGAACTGACCACATCAACAGCTGGATTGAAACAGTGGCCTGCGCATCGAGACCCAAAACACACACGTACCTGTACCATGTGTAATGGGTCTAATAAGTTCTAACAAAGTCATTTGTTTATCAGTCAGGCACCAATGACGTCATTTCCAAGGGACATTAAAGTCATGATGTATTTATTGTGGATATAGAACTCTCGGTGAATGTAGAAAATTTGAATCGATATAATGCCAAAAATATATTACAGTGGAAACCTGATAAGTAATATTTCAAGGGACTCGCTAAAATTGTTTACATCTCAGGTATTTTACTTATCCGAACTTATCAAAACCTGCAAATGACAACCATATGCATGTATATGTGTACAGCAGAATAAGAGACAACATTTGTAGACAGACAGATATTTTATTAAGTAAGTAACATGGCCTCCAGTTGCCAGTGTATTGTCAACTGCATGACGCCAGAGAGCTGTAAGTAGGATGTTTGTTTAGCTGGAGACTGACACGTGCACCTCATGTTGGATTATGTGGTGATCGCTAATTTAGTTATCCGATCTCTTTTGTTAAGTAATTTACTTCCAGGGACCGTGAGAAGACATTAAGTTAAGCGGTATTGTTTACTTATCCGAGTTTAGTTAACCGGACTCTAGTAGCGAGAATTAATGAAGAAATTTGCCGGGACCAAAGAATAGTGTTTACTTCTCCGGTCTGTTTAGTTAAGCGGTCTTTACTTAGGCAATATCACTGTAGTTACTTATGATATCTGTACTGTTTTGGCTATAAAACTACTTGACAAACACTTCTTATGATGAAAAAGTGCGAGACAACAGGGTTAATGTTCTTGTAAACTTGCCGTTTGATATAACCAGCAAATCTAAGAACACAATAAGGTTTATCCAGGGCTCCAGATAATTTTTCATGATCAGGAGTACGTACTCCTTATTATTTCAATATAGGAGAACTGGAAAGCAATAAAGTACATTTAGAGTACTGAATGGAATTTAATGGAGTATCAGTAATCTTGTGTTTCGTTTCATATATATGCACAACATTGCTACTCTTATGTAAACAGGTCAGTCAACAATGAAACAATACTTTTTCAGATAAATATGTCTGTAAATGATTCTAAGACCGTACACCATTGCTGTGGTGCATATCTGCTACGTTTTCTAAATTATTTCCTACCCTATCGTGCTTATTTTATATCCGTACATACGTCGATACGTCCCTTATCTGGAGCCCTGTCTATCTACTAAATGTAACTCACTTCTTCTTCGTTAAGGTGACATATGAACATATGGACACCAACCAGATCATAAGTTTAGACAATAGCATCGACTTGTCCTACAACCCCATAGAGGGAGGCAAGAGGAAGTATGAGGTGCAGACGCGGGGCCCAGAAAGCCGTATCACGTACATGTTGATCATCCGACGGCTCCGGCAGCAGGATGCAGGGAGATACAGATGCTACGTGAAGATCCAGGCACTCGCCTCCACCAAGTGGCCAAGCAAGATAGGATCCCTCACTGTACAGGGTAATACACAGATATGTTTTAGTCGCAGATTTTTGTGCGTGTCTTCCGTGAGCATCCGGGTTTGAATTGATCTTCAGTAACCCATGCTTGTCGTACGAAGTGACTTACGGGATCGGGTGGTCAGGTTCGCTGACTTGGTTGACACTTGTCGTCGTATCCCAAATGTGTAGGTCGATGGTCATGCAGTTGATCACTGCGTTGTCTTGTCCAGACAATAATTTACAGACCGCCGCCGTTTAGCTGGAATATTGCTGAGTGCGGCATAAAACTAAATTCACTCACTAACTCCTTTGCATTGATATCAGGGTTCACACAGACCTGATATCAGGCTTGAAAGGCCTGAAATGTGAACGTTTTACTCCAGAAAGGTCCTGCATGAGCACGATCTACACAATTGGGATATAGTGACGTGTGTCAACCAAGTCAGCAAGCCTGACCACCCGATCCCGTTAGTCGCCTATTATGACAAGCATGGGTTGCTGAAGACAAATTCTAACATTGATCTTCACGGGTCCATTAATATTAAGTGTGTCCAAAGTAATACCATATGCTTCTGTATACCTGCTCAGAGTATTAACTGCCAACTCTGCTGCTGAAAAAAGGTTTCTGAGACTGTGACTTTATCTTCAGTTGCACCATCAATCCGACCTGGTGAGACGACAACAGTTCTAGTTGTGGATCCATTCTCCAACTCCAACCTGACATGTTCTGCGACTGGGATCCCAGCGCCAAACATCACCTGGACCCGCTCTGATGGATTCAAGCTGCCAACAGGGGGACCTCAATTCAGGGTTAGTAGAACATGTTCCCTTTCAACCATGAGTTGTGATGTACGGGTGAAGGGAGGATTGTATTTTGGGAGATGGGAATGCTACTGCTTGTCAACAACAACAACAACAACAACAACATAAAGCTGCCAGCAGAGCATCTGGCAGAGGTATTGGTGTTCCATCCACCAATGGTGCGGGTGGTGCGAGACTCGAAGTGAAGTTCGGATGTTTGGATTTTATACTTGCCCTTAGCACAATTTAGTAGTCGTGGGCTGGCATAGTTTGTAATCACTTCTTGTTCACACGGGGAACAGTGCTGCTGCTAGTCAGCACCACAGTAAAGTTTGGATTTTTACTTGCCCATAGCACAATTTAGTAGTCATGGGATAGCAGACCATCCTGAATTTCAGAATCTGTAATCAAGGCTTGTTCACACAGGGAGCAGTGCTGCTGCTAGTGAACTCCACAATGAAGATGGGAACTTTGATTTTTACTTGCCCTTTGCACAATTTAGTAGTCACGGGATAGCAGACCATCCTGAATTTAAGAATCTGCTAGTGAACTCCACAATGAAGATGGGAACTTTGGATTTTTACTTGCCCGTTGCAATTTCAACACCACAGTGAACATGGGAGGCCCATAGCACAATTTAGTAGTCATGGGTTAGCAGACCGCTGAACAGAGTCAACATAAAGCAGTGCTACCGCTAGAGCATCTGGCAGAGGTCTTGGTGTTCCATCCCAGCGGAGCATCTGGCAGAGGTCTTGGTGTTCCATCCCCCAACAGTGCGGGTGGTGCAAGACTCGGTCGGACAAGCCCAGAACAGGAGGTTCTGGGCCAAGTTGGAGTGTATAACACAAGGTACGACAACTTCTCATTCAACTTCTGGTGTGCGAAATTTACGCTGGTGCTGTGATCCCTGACTAGTAAAACTTCATCAGGACTACAGTTTGCAGTGGTCCTCGTGGCCAGTGAATTTTGTATTGATAGTTAAGTAAATATACGAATGTTATTTTCACTGATTGAAGTACAGACTGGACCACTAATTATTGTCCACTCACTGGTCCTGTGGTCAGTGGGAAGGTTACTTTCCCTGAACTTCTCATTTCAAAAGCATTTTTTTCTGACTGCTTTTAAAATCAGAGCAGTGCCTACGGTTCACAGGGATATTGGAACTAAACATTTATACAGGGGATGTGTATCACAGATTAATTTGAGCAAAACTACAAATATAATTCATAAGTACTGAATTGAAGGTCACTTGAATTGAATTTTGAGATTACTCTCAGAATAATCAGTATTATTAAAGGAATTGTTCACAAAATAACGTGAAATTACCTTTCACAGGATATCCAGCGCCAACAGTAAGATGGGAGCGGATTGTGAACGGTGGTCGATCGCCGATCAATGATGACGACAAGTTTGACTTCAACAAGCAAACCACTGACAACCAGAACCTGAAGGCTGGTGAAGAGTGGTACACGCTCAAGGTGAAGAACGTGCAGGCCAACGACTACACCGACTACTTCTGCATCGCCACCAACACCAAGGGGTCGAGTCAGTCCACCATCACAATGTTTGGTATGTTTGGGTTTGTTGGGATAGAATGGTGGGTATGCTTGGGTTTGTTGGGATATGTTTGGGTTTGTTGGGATATGTTTGGGTTTGTTGGGATAGAATGTTTGGGTTTGTTGGGAAATGCAATTTTTTTACCATAGGGCACAGACAGATAATATGTGAGTGCCTGAGTTTAGTTTTCCACCACTTTTAGAAATATTCCAGCATCACCACGAAAGGGGTACACCAGAAATGGGCTGCACACATTGTACCCACGTAGGGAATCGAACCCAGGCATGACGAGCAAACACTTAAAGCACTAGGCTGGCCCACCGCCACCGCCTTTTTATGATTCAGTTAAACATAGCAACGTATGGTATGAGTTTACAACTTCTTTATTATTTTCAACACAAAGTTTCTGAGCTACTTCTTGCACCTTCATCAGATGAAGGGGCAAGAAGTAGCCCAGAAACGTTGCGTGGGTTCTGTTTTTTTTGGCATGCTGCAGTTGTGATTTGGAATTCCTGGAATAGCAACTGGTAAGAGCTGACTCAGTGGGCTGGCTGGCTGGACTTTGTTACTTTTTGAATGCATGTCTTGGTCAGATTTGAATCTTAGAGTTGGACAGTGTTGAGAAATGAGTACACAATGCCTTTTAGAAAGTGGTCAAATGTAACATATGTTATATTTGGGGTTACACTTTCTTAGTGAAGTACAAATTGTACTTTTGGGGGTTGAGTCCCTTCCGCTGACTTTGTGTGCTGGTGATTAGGTCCCTTACTCTGAGGGTATGGGTTCAACCCAAAAAGTACTAGAATTCGTACTATACTAAGAAAGTGTAATCCCAAATATATCACATGTTACAATTGTTGAGAAATGTAAGTTTTCTTAAAGTGTGACACAGTCACTTTGAAGACATTTTTCCTCCAGATGGATTACCAGTTGTAATTTAGCAGGTTTGCCCCAGTCCATTTCATGAAGACCAATTATATCCTTTCCATGTGGTTAACGCTTTGATTTGCTTGTCACGCTGTTAGGCTGGGTTAGTGGACTGTCTGTGGTCCGTGTGTTAACATACATGCCAGTGTGTATGTGCGTGCATGCATGCCCATGTATGTGTACCCATGTGTGTGTGCATGCATGTCTCTGTGTGTGTATTCACACATGCATGCATGCCTGTTTGCCTGACCTTTGTCTATCAGCATGCATGTTTGCATTATGATTACAAAACAAATTACATGTGAAATAATTATCCTTTTTCTCTTGTTTTCAGAAACAACAGAGTGTCAAGGTCCAAACTGTCCATCTCTTCCGAGCTCGAAGGCCACTGAGGTCAAGGTCTCCCTCCTAGCAATGGCTATCACCACCCTTGTTCCATATGTTGTCATTGCATCTGACCGCAGATAATCATCAGCAACTTCTGTCAGTGACAGAATAGTTTTTATGTGTTTTTACATCAGTTTGACTACATTCCATATATGATTTTGAATAATTTGTACATTCCAACACATACAAACAAGCCTGTCCATCAATAAGATTTTTTCACGGGGCTATTCACAAAGCCATATTTGTCCAAATGTACCAATAATATGCAGTAATACAAGAGTGAAATCATAACAGCCTCATCCTGTAATTGTCCCAGATTTCAACCAATCACATTTCTCATCCCACATGACTTCATTTGTAAAAACTTACGTCAGCCATTCATATCGACTGTTACCATGGTTACAATGACATCTGCATCACCAGTTCTGGCAATGAATGAGGACGAATACCTACTGGCACACAAGAATTGACAAATTTTGAGAATAAGGAAATATTTTGAAATATTATCAAATGAAAGGCAAAACAAAAATTCTAGCTTTCCATCATATAAAATGGTGGGAGATTTTATAGACATGTTTTTATACTCTTATCAAAATTTCTAAATGGGTTCTTCAAGACGCCCAAGTTTAAAGCATCCTCTCCAAGACCCAGGTGCCCATGGTCGCTGATCGTCTTGATAGTGAAATATGATCATAATCATAATAATATACCTTACAATCTATCTGTCATGTTTCAGGGCTTAATATAGATGTTTTAAAGATGCACTAGTGCAACTTGCTTTTGTCTGGTGCAACCTGCTTTTGTCCAAAGGGGCGGTGGGGTAGCCTAATGGTTAAAGCGTTGGCTCGTCATGCCGAAGACCCGGGTTCGAATCCCCACATGGGCACAATGTGTGAAGCCCATTTCTGGTGTCCCCCGCCGTGATGTTGCTGGAATATTGCTAAAAGCAGCGTAAAACCAAACTCAGGCAGGCAGGCTGGCAGGCTTTTGTCCAGTGCAACCAGTTTTTCATTCCCAGTTGAATCAAGTTCTGAATTGAGCCCTGCATTTAGTATGCTATTAACCTGAGTGTGATACATTACTTTGTAAATGTCAAGGCTACCGTATATCATTCTGGGCCCATGTGCACAAAACGATCTGAGCACAACTATCATAAATCTATGTTAGTGAATAAATTGTCCTACCACTAACAAAGTTTTGTGCATGTGGACCCTTTTCATATCAGCCATTTAGAAGCAATTTTACATTGCAGATTATACATACATTGGTCCAGAGCATAGCCTGTTTTCCTTCCCTATTATCAGATACTTAATCCTTTTTTAATTCGCCTGGTTTAAATATACAAAAATATAATATTTGAATATGCCCACAGGTAAAATTACATAAATGTATAAGCATTTTTGGATTAAAATATTTACTTGTATAAAGTTTTTAATTTGTGTTCACCAGCTCTAAAAGGCAAATAGTTCACTATGCAATAATTTTATCATGTTGAATTTTATGCTTGTTTCATTGTCAATGTTAAGTACATGTACTCACAAAAAATGTTTTAAAAGATGTTGGCTGGAATGTTACCCAGCCTTTCCAGTCATATGTTTGGCTACACAAAAATAATTAAACCCCCCAAAAATGTTTTGAAATGGTTTGCAAAATCAATCATGGCTTTGTCAAGGGAACTCATTTCACTGATATGAAATTATAAAAGGGAATATTGTTTTAATGCCTTTACGTTATTAAATGCACTTTGAGAAAATTTGAATTTGAGATAATAGAAACTTCAAGAAAATCCCAATTTTGAACAACAGGAAAATTTATTCCCCCTTTATGACATATGCTGGAATATTGCTAAAATCAGCGTTAAACTAAAACTCACTTACTTTGTGGATTTGGGGCCTGGTGTTTATCCTTTTCTGAGAAGTATATTTTGTATTCTGGTCTTGCAGATGGATTGTGATGTCACCTGTAAGTTGTACATTTGTCAGCCAGTCATTAACTAGTGATGCATACTCAGGAGTTTTGATGTTACGTTTCTAATTAATGTAAATACGAACCAAACATTTGATCATCATTTGTGACGATTGTATTTGTGCCTAACAGTTGCGCCAATTGACATGATAGTGAATATTTTGTTTTGGAAACATTTCCGCTTCATTCCCTGAGATTATGGTAAATGTAGTTCAGCCTCTCCAGATATACTGCTCAAAAGAACTAAAGCACAACCTGATTGTATTCCTTTTGCTATAGGGGTGGTGGGGAGCCTAGTGCTTAAGGCGTTAAGGCACGTCACAACGAAGACCAGGGTTCGATGTGTGGAGCCCATTTCACGTGTCCCGCATCGTGATATTGCTAGAATATTGCTAGAAGCAGCGTAAACCTCACTCACTCCCGTTGCTATGGTTACACTCTAATGCCATGCAGATTTACAACTGTAACATGAAAGAAGTAAGTGTTCCTGAACTTCCTTTGAGCAGTATATACAATTCACAAGCTGCCTTCCCTTGTGTACAGACCTAACTCCCGCAAATTCCACACAAGGTTACACAGTTGCCAACCATCCCATCGGTTTTGGATTTTTTACAAATTTGCAGCAAAAATATGAGAGTATTTCCTGTTTTGTTCCTAAACTCTTGCAAATATGATGCTGTTCTGTGAGAAAAAATAAAGGACTTAATTTTCATAAACCACATAAAGAGGTTTTTTATATTACCCTAAACTCAAACATGTTTTGTTTATGAACTCACGTGAAGTCTATTATAGTACGGCTGACCATCGATATAGATCATAGAAACTAAATGTCAGATAAGTAACTTCAATCCAAAATGACAAAAAAAGATTTAAAGACATGAATTTTCTATGTATTTCACATGGCTAGTGAGTGGTGACATGTTTGGACTTGGATTACTGACAGAACGGTCTCCTGAACATGACTTAGAAGCAGCACATGAATAAAAACCTAACTTTCTCAGCCAGCCCTAATATACAGTGTTGCCTCTGTGCAATCCAGACATTGTATTAGAGCAGCTGCTGAAACCACAGTAGAAACTAAGTCCTACAAGTGTCTACTTTGTTTGAGAATCATGTGGATCATATTGAACAATATCCAGTGCTTTGTTTTCTGATAGAAATAATGGAACAAAATACTCATTTAATTTAGGAAAGTTGGCAGCTGTAGGGTTAATGTTTACTTAGGCCAGACCAATTATATTTCTTGTTTTAGAGATTTTTGTCCTCAGAAAACCTAAAGGCATGAGGTGAATATATCACCAGTCAAACTAATATTCCTTTTAAATCCTTAAAGTATTTTATTTTTGGCAATTTATGAAGTGTATATGAGCAAAAAAACAATCTAAAAAAGACTTTTTTGAAAGTTTACATTGTTGGCCCATAAAAACATTAGGATAATATTTTTTGAGCAGGGAATAGTTTTTGTTCTTATTCTTGAAAAAATATGGCCGGTGGGTCTATAAAACAAGAAATAAAATTGGTCTGGCCTTAACAGATCTTAACATCCATATGGAAAGTCAGGTTTGACATAGATCTTATATAGATCTTGTATATAAGTAATATTTCATTATTCATTGCGTAGTGGTACTCTGTATATAAACTCAGATTAGACTTTGTAGTTTTCTTTTCTTCTCAAATGCTAGCAGTATTGGGTGCTATTCCTGTTAAACTATGCTTGTAAGTGAAATCAGTTGAATTAGGTAATTTTATACAAGATTTTATCAAAATTTACAAAAAATCATTGCAGTATATGGTCATGGAATTAATTATTGCATGTGAGTTTTTGTGTATGATATGTTTTTATAGCTTGAAACTGTAAATAATTTGATTCATTGATTATTACTGATATATTTTGTATAGTACAAGCATTTTATACAAAATAAAACATTTTCAGATAAAGATCTCATCTCGTTTTGTCTTACTGCAGGGAATCTTCTTTCATTCCCAGTCTTTGGAATATTAATTTTTGTTTTTCGTTTCTTTGTTGTTTAATGCAGCCCTCAGCAATAATCCAGCTATATGGCAGCAATCTGTAAATAATCGAGTCTGGACCAGACAATCCAGTGATCAACAGCATCAGCATCCTTATACGCAATTGGGATTCGATGACATGTGTCAACCAAGTCAAGACTGACCACCCGATCCAGTTAGTGGCGCTCACAACATGTATGGGTGGATGAAGACCAATTCTAACCCGAATCTGGGAATGTTGAATATTACACTACTCAAACGACTGAAAGAACACCTTATTGTTTAATATTGATTAAGTTCATGTGTCATAGACATAGAAAATATATGTATGTCTGACAGAATTTCTTAATGTTACGGGGCGGTGGGGTAGCCTAGTGGTTAAAGCGTTGGCTCGTCACGCCGAAGACCCGGGTTCGAATCCCCACATGGGTACAATGTGTGAAGCCCATTTCTGGTGTCCCCCGCCGTGATATTGCTGGAATATTGCTAAAAGCGGCGTAAAACCATACTCAGTCAGTCAGTCAGTCTTAATGTTACACTTCCTTTCAGTAGTATATTTATTATGTTTTAAAAGGATCGAAGGGACCTATCATCTCAGTTGATGCAGTTTAGTCTGCAGAGTTGCCTCCCTTGGGTGTGCCAGAAAGCTATGATCGTGGATTCAAATTGCATTTGCCCTGATCAGGTTTCAGGTTTCTCCTCATATAACCATGTTAAAAATGACATAAAACGCTAGTCACGCTCTCAGTCACTTACTTTATCAAAGTGTTAACACAGGTTTGGGTACAGGGGTTCGAATCACTGTTTGGACAATAAATTTTAAAAATACAAATCTAAACTATTGCAATCATATATTGTTTTCGTAATCATGGTTAACATATATTTCAAATTTGAATGAAATCAGTGAGGAAATAAAGATGTGTATTTAATGTGATGAGTGTAGCGGTAGAATTTTCTAAAATAGCCTAGTGGTTAAAGCGTTAGCTGGTCATGCCAATGGTGCCGGTTCGAAAATACATTTCGAAAAACACCCAGCTTCCTCTATTCAAACAGTTGTGACTGGAAACCCAAGATGAGCTGGTAAAGTCATTTAACCTGAAATTGCCTCACATGCAGTTTGCGTTGTTTCATCATGTGGAACCAAGAATTCAAATCTATTGCATGCTGCACCCTGCTGTGAACGGGTAGCTGGTAGGATAACACGGTGAAGTAGCTTAACCTTAAATGCCTCCGTGGTGTAGTGGTTAGAGCGTCCGCCCGGTCGCGGGTTCGATCCCCGACCGCGTCATACCAAAAGACGTTAAAATATGGTACTTGTTGGTCCCTGCCTGGCGCTCGGCATTAATGGGTACAACAAGGACTGGTCGGCTCGGAGTCAGTATAATGTGTCTGAGTAGGGTATTCATGCTTCACTGCGGCATGGTATCTCAGTGAGCTAGCACTATAAAACCAGCTTCAGTCTGGGCTAGTACAAGCAGCCGCACATACACATACACACGCATGCACATCGTCATATGAGCGAAATATTCTCAAGCACGACGTTAAACCCAATTTCACCTCACCTCACCTTAACCTTAAATTGCCTCATAAGCAGTTTGTGTTGTACATAAACACGGGGAGGTTAGAATTAAATTCGATTGCACACTACACCGTTGAAGATAAATTAGCGCATCAAGCATGCGTTAGGGTGGGAACTTGGTGAATTATAAGTATGCATATTTTTGTTACAAAACTGACCAGTGATTGAAAATACCAGCACTTGCTGTCATTTTTATGTCATTTCCAAATGGCAGTGGACTTTATCTCTCTACAATGTATTCGAGCTATGATTTACAGCGACTGTAAATTGTCGTCCTAAGCGAATAACTCGATGGAAATACACTTTATTATCAAGACCTGTTGAGAGAAAGTTGTTTGAGTTAAATGAAACATATTTTATTCAATTAAGAAACGGATTGGGCACAAGTTATCCAACTTAAAAAAGCCCTCTCCACATAGTTACAAGTGTATATTACAAAAAAGTTCAACAAGAGGCAGACAAAGGGTATAGATATGTACAGACAGAGTTATTTAAATACACTTTATTATCAAGACCCGTTGAGAGAAACTTGTTTGAGAGGCATTATGAAGTTGCTGTGATGAACAATGAGGAGAGTTCTATCGATATACAACTTCTTAAATATAATATGAGCGACGTTTCGGTGTAGCTACTAACACCATTATCAAGCAAATGATGTACAATACTAGAGGCAAGGTGTGTATATATACATAGTAAAGTTGAACAGTAAGTGACTGATGTTTGCACAATTAATGAGGTTGATGTACAAGGTTGGAGGACCATTGTTACACAAACAGAGTAAGCTATGGGGCATTATTGGGAGGAAGCCAGTGATATGACAGATAGGAGAATAATGAGATTAAGATTGCTTGGTGATGAGTTGGTTGTAGGCAGTGGGGATGTAATATCCTTGGTCTCTGTTCATGGCCGGTTGGAGTCTCTTGATGTGAATGGCTTCTAGTAGCTTTCTGATCTTGCAGTGGGTGTGATTACTGGTGAGTACATTGATGCTGTTCCATAGGATGTTGTTGTCGCCGCGAATATCCACAGAATTACTGATGCGACGTTTAACAATGTTCCCTCACTCAAAGGCTGATATCCGTCCCCACATTTGTAGAAAATTTAATGTGAAGATGAAATTAAAAATGTCCATTTTATATAAAGACATATAAAAATGTCATGAATTTGAAGAGAAAACATGGCCAATATATGGAAAAAGGTTTCAATGTTTAGTGGTGTTTGTTTGCACAGAATGCAATCTAAAAAGATACCAACGTTAATTGAATGTGAATCAAGGAAAATAACCCTTTAAAATCCCAATTTTGAATAGCATAACGCTTTCCTTCCATGGACCCTTAGTTCGTAATCCTGGAGACATCTTTGACTAAGTGTGACTGTGCTGGAACTATCTGTTTGTTTGTTCATGAACTACCCTTGAAGATCTGGGTTAGAATTGGTCTTCAGTAACCCATGCTTGTCGTAAGAGTCGACTAACGGGATCGGGTGGTCAGGTTCGCTGACTTGGTTGACACATGTCATCATATCCAAGTTGCGTAGATCGATGCTCATGCTGTTGATCACTGGTTTGTCTGGTCCAGACTCTATTATTTACAGACCATTTGGCTGGAATGTTGCTGAGTTAAACAACAAACAAAATGTTCATGAACGCCAAGATCATAACACTGCAGTATACTGAGTACCAATACTGAGTATATTATCTCTGATTAACCAGGGATAGTCTACGTCTTCTATTCTCCCTGGATTAACTATCGAATTAAACCCAGTATATCAACGCAAACTCATCAGCGCTTTCCCCCTCAATCTTTATATATTCTACACATATATTCCTTCCATTACATAGCGATCGTTCGAATAAAAAAACAATTCGTGTCCATTTTGTTCTCAACACATTTAATTTTCTCCATTCCGTATACGAATCCAAGTTTTGTATTGAGAAGAATGACTCACCTGTGAAGTGGACATACCTGAGAGGTGAGAATGTGTCACCTGCGCATGCGTTGACGGATGTTCAATTTTATGGGACAGGATAATCAACTATCGGAGTTGCGTTCTGAGTGATATTCTAAGCAAATATGGATCTGAGAAGGGAGCTGTGGCTCTGTTTTGTTGTTTCTATAGCCCTAATAGTTACAGGTAAGAATGATCAAACAGTGTTTTACCTGCGCGGCGTATGTTTACCTGGTTTGACTTACTTCCTGAAGTTGACGCTGTGTTTTGGTATGGGGAGCCATTTGAAAGTCTCCTGTACATTCTTGTCAGCTTTAGCAAGCTATGTCACTTAATTTATGGATTTATTGCTATATCTAACTGCCGTTGTGTTATAGAAACTTTACAACGCCATTGTGTCATGTTGGTGGAGAGGTACGAGTTGAATAGATTGTGATAAAACACACAGAATTCAAATAGGTCGTCAGTTGTCATTTGGTCGGGGATGAGGTTTAATTCAGTATACAACAGTCCAAGAAGCATGTGTCTATACAACACAAACAAGCACCTGTTCGAGATATTTTAAATCAAGTGGCTAGATTTTATTATATTATTCGATCATTTGTTCACGTTGAAGTGTTCTGGTCTGTTGATTACAGAGGTGAAACTTTTGATGTTGTTCTATGTTGCAGTAAGCAATATTCCAGTTATGGGTAAGAGTTCCGCCCATAAACCCTCCCCTCCACCCAACCCCCACCCAACCCTACCTGCATGAAATGTCAAAATGTAAATTGGTGTTGCACAGAAAATAAAAATTGAAGGGTAAGTAATCTTGACAATAAAGAAACTAATGAAATATCTCTTCATAGGATTACGGTTAAGGTCAGGCATAGAGTGATAAAAAAAACCCAGGGATTATGGGCAGAAATCTTTCCCAGTTGTGACAGTGCTCTGTAAATAATTCAGTCTGGACTAGACAATCTAGTGACTAACATCATGAGCATCGATTTACACAATTGGGATATGATGACAAGCTTTAACAGTGTCTGACGATGTAGCCCCATTTGTTGCACTAGATTCTGTCATAAAGGCACTATATCACACCACACTTCTCTAAAAATAAATAATGCGTTTCTCTCAATAGTACTAACTATGAGCCCTCAGGGAAGCTACCATATACTTTATTCTAAAAACCATAACGTAGTTGGATTACAATGTTAAATTAAAAAGTTTGAATGAATTAATGCAACGTTGCATTAAATCCAATCTCGCGCCATCTACCGGCTGAACGTTATTTCAAGCGAACCCCATAGAGTATGTCCTTTGGAGTGCTCTTTACGAATATCATACTCACTACTTGTGATTGAAACCAGTTCGGCAAACACCGACAACACTGTGTACAGCAGTTTTCGATGTCACGGAGCAGTTGTTTACATTCCATATATGGCAAGTGTTCTCTGAGGCTGTTTGCCTCGGAGTTTCAATCATCGATTTCAGGCAAGTCGTAAGGGATAATAAGTCTTTTTTTTGCATCAATAGGAAGCTAAAGTCAGTGCATATGCCCCTATATGTATAATATAGACCAAAATATTGTCGAAAATGTGTGACATTGTGCCTTTAAGGACATACATGTGTTGATGAAGATCAATTCTAACCCGATCTCCACGATTTGGAATTACTGTTACATGCTGACACTCTTGAATTCCAAGGGGAAGTAACCCATGCTTGTGGTCAGAGGCGACTAACAGGATCGGGTGGTCAGGCTCACTGACTTGGTTGACACATGTCATTGTATCCCAATTGCATAGATGGAGGCTCATGCTGTTGATCACTGGATTGTCTGGTCCAGACTTGATTATTACAGCCGCTACCAGCGGGAATATTGCTGAGTGTGGCGTAAAACAACAAACAACAAATCTTGGTGATATGGAGAATTGTGTGGATTGTTGCTTACACTTCCAATACCTATCACCAGATCGTGTGGTTCTGACTCAAATTATACTGGCTGGAATAACGCTGAGAAAATACGGAGTCCCACTGCAAACACACAAACACATCCTTGTTATTGACTGTGGGGTACCTAGTAACTAATTGCTCCTTTCAACCGAAGACCAGGGTTTGATTCCTCACATGGGTACAATGTGTGAAGCCCATTTCTGGTGTCCCTACCCTCATATTGCTGGAATATTGCTGGAATATTGCTGAAAGCAGCATAAAACCATACTCACTGGTAATGACAGGCACAACTGAAAATGACACATTTGTGGTTAATTTGCAGTGTTTGGAGACGATCCCATTGTCAGTATCCCGAACACAACGCCAGGGGTGGATCCGGTTGATGGATACATTAAGTGCCCCAAGGATGAGGATGCCTTCCTCACCTGTGCCGTCACCAACAAACCCATCGACAGCGACGTAAGTGGCAATAGTCGTGTTGGAACTGATGTTTACATTTCTCCTTTAAACATGTTTAACAAGTTATCAGAGCTCCAGATAAGATTTAGCTCATGTGGGTACTGTACCCACTGTATTTTTTTGGAGTGGGTATTATGAATGTTGAGTGGGTATTTCATTTTCTGTTACCCACTGCTTTCAAATATGAGCGTATTTCAGTCATTTTACTCAGTTAAGTATTATGTCATTGAGTTAGTTTACTAAGCAGGTATGTCCTGCCTTATGTCATACTTAGTCAGAACCAACTTAAATATAATGGAAATGATTTCATAAAAAATCACTCATCCTATACTGACAGTACAACACTTGTCCTATACTAACAGTACAACTTAATAGCAATCGATGTCTTTTTCATTACGCAAGCGATTTTTATAAATATATTCCGTACGCATTTGTTTTAAACGTTTTGCGTATCTAACATTTTAAATGCGTAATTGGTACGCAACAATTATTTTTCAATGCGTAATTGGAAATTTTATATGCGTTTTTTACCCGGATACACAGCTTATCTGGGCCTCTGAAGTTATCGTCATGATGTGTTATTTTCACTCATTTAAACTTAGGATTTAAAAATATTAAGATTATTGCAATAACCATGGTAACCTTCATAAGTTTACTTGGACATAGAATGGTTGTATTTGTGACCATTGTATGTCATTCAGAGATTATCCAAATAGGAAGTCGTGCTCCCCTGGAAGGATTGGGTTCATTTCTGATGTCCTCCGCCATGATATTGCTGGAATATTGCTAAAAGCAGGTCCTTGGGTTGCTGAAGACCAATTCTAACTCAGGTCTTGTGGAACAGGGATCTGCTCAGAGGCCTATATTTGTGGTATATGTGCAATAGGGTACTAGGGGAGGTAACTCTTTTTCATGATGGGTGAAGGACATCACGTGCATGAACTTCACGTGCTATCAAGTAAATGCATGGCAAACGGTCCGCCATCTTGTCATACGCAGATTGGCGCTGTAACCAAAACCTGAATTTCACATGTGAACCCAAACCCGTACAACGAGTTGTGAATGTGATACCAAGCATACAACAATATTCAACTCCAAATCTGAAACAAATGTCTGTTAACCATGCCAAATTAAGAATAAGAAATATGTCCCAATCCCTAATATGTCCAATAACCTAGAAGGTTACCAGTCATATGGGTATCCAGTGGGATAAGTCATATGACCATGATGACTGGTAACCTTCTAGCTTCTCACAGGGGTGGTGGGGTAGCCTAGTGGTTAAAGCGTTGGCTCGTCACGCCGAAGACCCGGGTTCGAATCCCCACATGGGTACAATGTGTGAAGCCCATTTCTGGTGTCCCCCACCGTGATGTTGCTTGAATATTGCTAAAAGCGGCGTAAAACCAAACTCAGTCATTTTAGCTTCTCACAGGCAGCTTGGGTTATCCGGGGGGTAATAATGCATTAGTGCCTTGAGCATGCACAAGTGTCTGGAAACAGGCACTTTTTTATCAATAGCCGTTATTATCTTGATGATGTTTATACTTGTAGCCTGTGTTTGTTACTGTTTACAAGCTGAACATGATAAAGGTGAGGAGAATTGGGGTTTAATGCCGTACTTAAGAACATTTGCCCATATGACGACGTGCATGCGTTTGTATGTGTGGCTGCGTGTACTAGCCCAGACTTAAGCTGGTTATATCGTGCTAGCTCATTGAGATACCATGCCGCAGTTAAGCATGAATACCCCATTCAGACACATTATACTGACGGACCAAGAAGTACCATATTTTAATGTCCTTTGGTATGACAAGGCCCGGGATCGAACCCGCGACCTCCGTCTCTTCGGGCGGATGCTCTAACCATTACACCATGGAGGCGTTCCGAACATGATAAAGAGGATGTGATGGTTAATCTGTAAGCTCCCAAATGTTAATGTGAAATAACTGTTTTATTGTATGATCTCAGCATTCATGTGATGACATATTGTTGATTTTGTAAAATTGCATGTTGTGCTCCAGGTGAAGTGGGTGGTGCAAGCCTCAGGTGTCCTCACCCCCATCAGCACTGATCTCAATAGCGAGGACCCCTTCAAGTACAGCTTGGAGAAACCCTCGCCCACCGCCTGGAGGCTCAAGATTCAGAACGTGCAGGTGACAGACGAGGGCCGGTACACATGCAGAGTACAGACAGGCTCGCAGATCTACGTCCAGGCCGTAGCAGACATCAAGGTCACAGGTGAGACTTTTATAACATAGCTGACCCGTGCGGATCTGGGTTAGATTTGATCTTCAGTAACCCATGCTTGTTGTAAGAGGCGACTAACGTGATTGGTAGTCAGGATCGCTGACTTGGATGACACATGTTATCGTATCCCAATTGTGTAGATCGATGTTCATGATGTTGATCACTGGATCATCTGGTCCAGACTCGATTGTTCACAGACCGCCGCCATATAGCTGGAATACTGATGAGTGCAACGTATAACTAAACTGACTCACTCACTATAACATCGCTCTGCATCATGTTACTAACTCTGGGGGCAGGCTGACAGACAACAAGGTCACAGCTGCGACACATTGTATAACACACACATTGTATAACACAGATATGTGTTATTAACTGTTAGTGTGTGGAAATCTTCACAGATCCACGTCCAGCTTACTGTTAGGTATGACATAAATATGCCTTCTGTTACTATAGTCGGTTTGCATTGAAAACGTACCGATGAATGTCAATTTAAACAAAAAAGTAATTCGAATAAGATGAAATTAAGATTGCGAATCCTCATAATTTTACCTTGCCAACTGATCATTTAAATCTCAGAATTTTATTCAACTTAGGATAAAAGTTGTTTAACAAACGATCATACTTTCAAATCGCTATTATTGGTTTGTATTACAAGGGTGTATGCACATTAAATGAAACACCGAGAACATGTAGGGCTGGTCTAAGTTAACGCTCATTACGAACCGCACGTGCATTTGTTTCACTTTTCCAACTACTGCGCTTACCCCCTTTGTAATACAAACCAATAATAGCGATTTGAATGTATGATCGTTTGTTAAACAACTTTTGTCCTACAATGAATAAAATTCTGAGATTTAAATATTCATTTTACAAGGCAAAATTATGAGGATTCGCTGTCTTAATTTCACTTTATTTGATTTTTTTTTGGTCAAAGTGAAATTCATCGGTACGTTTTCACTGCAAACAGACTATAAATATAACTCGGCTTCAGAGTACAAGGCTAGCAGTCCATTGAGACATGATCTTGGCCTCCTTTCACAAAGCACTAAGGTGTTCGTAAGTCACTATGGTAACCTTAGTGCAATGTTAAAGAATAGGAGGTAGGGTTAACCTTAGTAACTGTTGCTTCTTGAAAGGAGCACCAGATGGATAAAGCTTCCCTCTTGAATGATGAAGGTTGATAGTTTGATCAATTTACCTCCAAGTTAGTCCAGCAGATTGTGTGTTTTCCTAGAGAGTGGCAGGTCAGTGGGTTTGACTCTCGACGTACCAAAGACTGGACAGGCTGTTACCAGCTGTTACTATCTTCAATTTTTTCCCATAATTTTCTTTCTCAGTTTACTTATTTTTAAGGTTAATGAGTGAGTTAATATTTAGCTTCACATTGCCAATATATCGTCCATATCGTGACTAGAGAACAGTTTACGCATCAAAGGGGCGGTGGGGTAGCCTGGTGGCTAAAGCGTTGGCTCATCACTCCAAAAGCCTGTGTTCGATTCCCCACATGGGTTCAGTGTCTGAAGCCCATTTCTGGTGTCCCCTGCTGTGATATTGCTGGAATATTGCTAAAATCGGCATAAAACCCAACACTCACTCACTACACATTAAAAATGATTAAATTTATGTAGTAAAGTGTAATGATAGGTAGGACATACAATCAAACCTAATACATTTTCGTTCGTCAGTTTTATTGTTCGGTTGTTATTGCAGAGGTTCCCAGGATATCTGACCTTGCGACCAGCAGTGACACAACGGTGAAGGAGGGCGACAGTGTTCTGATGAGATGCAATGCCACTGGACGCCCCTTCCCCGTCGTCTCCTGGAGTCGGATGGCTGGGGAGCTGCTGCCAAATGGTGGACAGGAGCTGCAGGTGAGAGACACGACCACTTTCAGTTACACTCAAGGAGAGTCTATATAGAATAGTCCACAAAGACAGGAGCTACAGGTGAGACACGACCACCTTCAGTTACACTCAGGGAGATTCTATATAGAATAGTCCACAAAGACAGGAGCTGCAGGTGAGACACGACCACTTTCAGTTACACTCAAGGAGAGTCTATATAGAATAGTCCACAAAGACAGGAGCTACAGGTGAGACACGACCACTTTCAGTTACACTCAAGGAAGGAGAGTCTATATAGAATAGTCCACAAAGACAGGAGCTACAGGTGAGACACACCACCACTTTCAGTTACACTCAAGTTACACCAAGGAGAGTCTATATAGAATAGTCCACAAAGACAGGAGCTACAGGTGAGACACTCCACCACCTTCAGTTACACTCAAGGAGAGTCTATATAGAATAGTCCACAAAGACAGGAGCTACAGGTGAGACACAACCACCTTCAGTTACACTCAAGGAGAGTCTATATAGAATAGTCCACAAAGACAGGAGCTACAGGTGAGACACGACCACCTTCAGTTACACTCAAGGAGAGTCTATATAGAATAGTCCACAAAGACAGGAGCTACAGGTGAGACACGACCACCTTCAGTTACACTCAAGGAGAGTCTATATAGAATAGTCCACAAAGACAGGAGCTGCAGGTGAGAGACGACCACCTTCAGTTACACTCAAGGAGAGTCTATATAGAATAGTCCACAAAGACAGGAGCTGCAGGTGAGACACGACTACTTTCAGTTACACTCAAGGAGAGTCTATACAGAATAGTCCACAAAGACAGGAGCTACAGGTGAGACACGACCACCTTCAGTTACACTCAAGGAAAGTCTGTATAGAATAGTCCACAAAAACAGGAGCTGCAGGTGAGAGACGACCACCTTCAGTTACACTCAAGGAGATTCTATATAGAATAGTCCACAAAGACAGGAGCTGCAGGTGAGAGACGACCACTTTCAGTTACACTCAAGGAGAGTCTGTATAGAATAGTCCACAAAGACAGGAGCTGCAGGTGAGAGACGACCACTTTCAGTTACACTCAAGGAGAGTCTATATAGAATAGTCCACAAAGACAGGAGCTGCAGGTGAGAGACGACCACTTTCAGTTACACTCAAGGAGATTCTATATAGAATAGTCCACAAAGACAGGAACTACAGGTGAGACACGACCACCTTCAGTTACACTCAGGGAGAGTCTATACAGAATAGTCCACAAAGACAGGAGCTACAGGTGAGACACGACCACTTTCAGTTACACTCAGGGAGAGTCTATATAGAATAGTCCACAAAGACAGGAGCTGCAGGTGAGACACGACCACTTTCAGTTACACTCAAGGAGAGTCTATCTAGAATAGTCCACAAAGACAAATGCAAAATCCATTTCTGGTGTGCCCCGCCGTGATATTGCTGGAATATTGCTAAAAGCGGCGTAAAACCAAACTCACTCAGTCAGTCTTTACCCAATATACCAGTTCTCAGAAAAAAATATTACAATACGTATCGTTTGAAAAGTGTATTGCGATATACACTGGTAATACCGTGCAGTCCCATTCAACACCATTTCATGTGACCTCAGTTCAAAACTCTCATTTGAGAATTGGCATTGTTCCAGGATAATTACCTGAGGATCCCAAGTGCCAAGGCTGAGCATGCTGGGATCTACAAATGCACCTCTAAGAACTTTGCAGGCCAGGACAACAGGAATATCTATCTGCAAGTGAAATGTAAGTAGTTTTCGACATTAATAAGAGCAAGAAATGCAATAACTCCATGAGGTGACAACCTTTTCATGAAATATTTATTTGACTGATCTGCATAGAAAGGAATAACAAAAAGAAAGTATGATATGAGTAGATGCTGATATGCCACGTATTTTCCACAGAAAAGCCGCAAGTTTACCACATGTATTTGCTGTAGAAAATCCACGAGTGAATGCTTTTCAATGGGTGTTAAATCTAATTCACTCACTCACTGTTTCTAGTTTCACCCAGTGTGATGGCACAGAGTCCCAGGGTTGGCCAGGCTCCTGGCTACTACAAGAGTTTAATCTGCATCGTCAAGGGCTACCCTGTTCCAACAACTGAGCAGGTGTCTTGGTCGCATTCGTTCAACCCCATATACTCCGAGGGGAGGTAAGTCTCACCTGGTCAGCCTCATATACTCCAAGGATAGGAAAGTCTCATCCCACGGGAGGCAAAGTTGTCTTGGTCAGCCCCATATACATTCGTCACCACTCGCCCCTTTCCGTAACCTCCAAGAAGACTCGTCCCCGACTCGATACTTGTTATGTGCGAAAATATGACAAACCAATTAGAACGCTCGTAAATGAGCACGGTCCTTTCGATAAAAATAATCCTGAGTACTTAAATCGTTTATGGCATTATGTCATTGTTTAAAAAATCATGAAAAATATACATCGTCCTATTGAAAGTACAAAGAACGTAGCTAAAAGGATTTTGCTGCCTTTATGAAGTTTTTAATAAGAATCATGCGATTGACGGTGAGAGATTCAAATACACGAACGTGCGTTTGTTGACATAACTGCTCTCATGGGTCCAACTGAGTGTATTTCTGATGATCTTATGCGGGCTTATTATGGAGATTGTACGTGTGCTTCGACCAATTTTAGGAAATGTAATTATAATCGCTACGAGTTTCAAAACAACAATATCGTATTTGTATGTAACTAATCAACCTTAATCTTTAATATTGGGCTTATATTTCATAGCTCTGGGGATATTTTAGTCTGACTGTTTTTTGGTCATTCATATTTTTTTCAGCCAATTCATTTAAAATTCCACCAGGGGAGTGACAGCAAGGTTACACGAATGTTCAGTTTGAGAAATATTTTAAAGTCATTTTTGAGTATCTGCTTTGGGATTTAATGTAGCTGAAAAAATATTATTTTATTTGTATATTCAATAACACAATTCCCATTTGTGTTAATTAAACCCTATTAAGAAAATTAACATAATTGGAAATATAAGGAGAACAGCTGGTCATAATTACATTAACAAGTAACAAAACCCCCAAAACAACAACCTAGCAATACAATGTGCATCTGTTTTTGGTGATTTTTAGAAACATTGGAATCAAACAGGCATAGAGTTATCGTTCTTGTTTAAAGTAGTTCTGATGTTCATGCGCCAATATGAAATCCTTCCAGAGGGGCACGAGTCGCTATTCGGCTTGTCCCGGAATAACACGAGTTGGTCACGAATGCCCCATATACTCCCAGGGGAGGTAACTCTGACTCCATCCATGCACATTCGTCTTTTCTGGAACAGAACTTTAAAAACAGCTCACTATTTCTTCACCAAACTTGGTCTGGTGTTGTACTGGTGCCTTTTGGTAGTTTTGGATTTCTGAATATAATGTGTTTTTGCGTTTCCGTGGCCACAAGTTTGACTTCGACTGAAATTGGTGGTAGTGCTCTTTTCCAGAGCAGACTTTAAAAAATTGAATACTCTCCTTCCACTTTGCTATATACATGCCAAAACATTTGACATAATCATAACTAGTTGACATATTCATGAAGAGTATTGTATCATTGCAGGGGATATTGACGACTCTGTCTTCTTGTTGGCATTAACTATAAAGGGAGGTAATCTTACCCTGCCTTAATTTGATAATTTCTCAGGCCTGCCCCTGTGCATGAAACTGAAGCTCAGCAATCTGACAGAAGGTTTGTTTAGCCTTACTGCTCCACATTAAACTTGCTTACAAGTGTCATTAAACATGCCCATGTAACTTCAGATATGAGATTACGAACATACCTGGAGCCTACAACCGCATCACGAGCATCCTCACTATCAAGGGTGTGCAACCATCGGACTACGGAAATTTCAAGTGTGCTGCTACCAACGAACAAGGAGATGGAGAGACTACCATTGAGCTTTATGGTGAGTTGATATATTTCTGTGTCCTGCCATAAGAGGTGTGTAGTCTTGGGAATAGAGTTCAGGTCACAAATCAGTCGAAGTTAAGCAACGTTGGGCGGTAAGAGTCCATGGGTGACAGTGTTTGGCAGCTTGACTCCTGCGAGTTTCTGGGACTTCAGTCAGCCCCACAACAAAGCACTTGTGATACATGTGGTCTCACCTTAGGCAAGTGAGTTTGTTCAAAATCTGTTCACCCAGCAGGGAATGGGTACCCGGTGGGATAGGTCACAGGCAGCTTGGTTTATCTGGGGTAATAATGATCAGATTGTGCCCTTCGAGCAGGATATCTAGCCTGGAAAAAGTGCGTTATAAAAAGTCTCATTATTATTAAATGTCTCAAATGGGATCTGGCATCCACCTTGAATGTTTGTTTGTTTGTTGTTTAACGCCACACTTGGCAATATTCCAGCTAACTGATGTAAATAATTGAGACAATCCAGTGACAATTCATGAATATTCGATTCTTATGATCACAAATAGTGAATTATATTCATCAGAGCTCCAGATAAGATTTAGCTCATGTGGGTACTGTACCCACTGTATTTTTGTGGGAGTGGGTATTATGAATGTTGAGTGGGTATTTCATTTTCCGTTACCCACTGCTTTCAAATATGTGCGTATTTCAGTCATTTTACTCACCTAAGTATTGTGTCATTGAGTAAGTTTACTAAGCAGGTAGGTATGTTCTGCCTTATGTCATACCTAATCAAAACCAACTTAAATATAAGGGAAATTATTTCATAAAAAATCACTCATCCTATACTGACAGTACAACACTTGTCCTATACTAACAGTACAACTTGGTAGCAATCGATGTCTTTTTCATTACGTAAGCGATTTTTATAAATATATTCCGTACGCATTTGTTTTAAACTTTTTGCGTATCTAACATTTAAAATGCGTAATTGGTACGCAACAATTATTTTTCAATGCGTAATGGGAAATTTTCTATGGGTATTTTACCCGGATACGCAGCTTATCTGGGCCTCTGAGTCATGAAAGGTAATGGTTTGATTCACCGAATATGGAGAGAACAGTAACAGCCCTACTGAGTAATATTTACTTTTGTGTGTTCCTCGCCGTGATGTTGCTGGAATATTGCTAAAAGCAGCGACAAACCATACGCAATCACTCACTCACTTGTCAATCACTGTTAGACTTTCCAGTCCCAGATTGCATCACATCATACAGATAACAGTATCACATTACAATGCAGGGGCAGTGGGGTAGCCTAGTGGTTAAAGCGTTCGCTCGTCACTCCGAAGACCCGGGTTCGATTCCCCACATGGGTACAATGTGTGAAGCCCATTTCTGGGGAATATTGCTAAAAGGGTCTTAAAGCGGCATCAAACTACACTCACTCACTCATTATAATGCAACACAATCTGCTGCTTCTACACAGCCTTGTGTATCTGGGTTCTTATCCACAAAGCATTCGTAACTTGACAACCTGTTGTAACTCTATGGTCTGTCATAGGCTTAGGAATGTTGTAGTGCTACAAACTGTTTGTGGATCTCTACCTGGTACTGAAATTATTGACAGGCTACATTATAAGTTGTGACGATGGGGACATGGGTTGATATCCCTCTACCCATGGGGTCAGGGAAAATCAACAAACATAGAGGATTGTTCATTGGTCACGAGGGGGGCATGGGTTGATTTACCCTCGATTGTCCTTGATGTTTGTTTATGTTCCCTGAGCCCGAGGGACCAGTGAACAATGTATTTCTCTTACCGAACACCTTAATGTTAATTTTGAATTGTTTGAAACACGGGTACAAATCTTTTTGTAGCCATCGCTAGATTTTGCTGACAAGAAAAACAGATTTAGAGTTATCTCCCTTCCATCGATTTGCATTCGCAAAACATCGGTAGAGTTACTAACATGAAGTACCAAATGAATTCCCACAGATCGGCATTCCCAGTAAGAAAACATAGAAACATAGAAAATGTTACTCGCTTGTAAGCAGGATACATTGAAAATAATAGAAGTGAGCTGTCAATACAAATACAACATTTATATGTGATGTAACATAAACAGTCATATGTAATGTACCGTATTTCCTCTAATAAGCAGTTCACTAACAGTTATGGTAATTAAACCCAGTAAGCGCAAAAGCGACAGGTCTGGAACTCCGTTGAAAAAAATAAGCGCCCAGGTGCTTATTAGAGGACATACAGTATTTTTATACCAGTGAGACATCTGAATCTAATGCAATAATGATGAGTGTCTTGTTCTCTACAGCCTCTGACCAGCCCACACCAGACAGAACCGGATTGATCAACAGTCGCTCGTCTGCTCTTGTCATCAGCACCACCACAGTGCTGATGCTGCTTTTCACCTGTCTTCTCCATCGTCTCAACTTGTGAATGTGACACCATCGCTAACCGCTCAACTCTTCATTGGCTTATAACATGATGCTCTTCTGTCATCTTTTGATAAACCAGGCACTTATGATTGTAGTGCTGTTTGGAAATTCGTGCCTGAATTTTCTGACAAAACAACACCCAGATCACATTGGTTAACAGTGAACAAATTTAAAATGTAACAGAAATCCAAATTTTCAAACTATCATCTGATAACAAGCTTGCCTTTGTATGTTTTTATGCCAGTGGAGAAAATTGTATTTTAGATTTTGTTAATAGACATATCTATGTATTGCCTTGTGGCTGATAGCTGTACACCCTACTCCAGTATCAGGGTCTGAAGTGTAGGTAACCATACATTATTACAGTATTGTTTTGTGATAAATGGCTATACATCGATGTACAACTCCTGTGATCATACAAAATGCCATCTGTGCTGTTTGAAATTTGGAAAGAAATGATTATGGGTTGTGCTTCACCTGCAACAAGGAGTTGATATAAACTGAAATATAAGTACTGAATCAGATACGAATATGGATTGTATCAAGTCCAACCATTGTAGCAGATCCTACACACATTAGACATAATGATACAGAGATAATCTACTGTGTCCTGATGCAAGGTCCAGAATGCAGTACATCGATTTACAACCCCTGTATCGCATTGAAATCCATGCATTACGTTACAAGGTGTCCTTCTGAGGAAACTAATGATAACAGATAGTTGTTTTTAGTTAATTCTAAACAGTAACTCAACTCTCGTGATTAATTTTTGTAAAAATATTTTTAAGAGTTCTGAAGTCCTGTCATTCAGGATTGTGATTCACCTGCAAAAGGAAAGAATATATACTTAAAAAACAAAGTACCAATAAGAATTGATGTACCACATCTATGTATTGTATCGTTACACTCCGACTGGATTTTAAGAATTCAGTAGATAATTCTGTATACATTTGTACTTTTATCATATATGTAAATATGCATTAAACTGACTGTAAAGGAGCATAGTTAAGATATTTTGATATCCTTAAATTTGCCAGTAGGATTTTAGAGAACTAGAAACCTGTGTGAATATCTTTTCACAATATTTATCAATAACTGAAGTAAGTGTTCTTGTAGTTATCATCAAGAGCTTCTTGCATATATCACATTTGTTCTATTTACATTTGTTCATATATTCATCTGACAACACCATCAGAAAACATTTATTCCTTGTATTTGGGGGTGTAAAATGATTTGTATTTGTAAAAGCAAACAGATGTTCCCCCTTTGAATGATGAAACTATATTGAAGTATGGTGCTGTTGTTTTTAATTCATTTTGCCAAGTAATTAACAAAATGTTAATGTTTTGTTTTAGTCATTATGTATAGTTCCTGACTGTTTACAGGTATTTTAATTTCATCTGATGTAAATCTTGATCTCGGAAGTGATATATATTCCAAATTTTATTGTCATGAGAGTAACGCAAAATTCGCAAGTGTCATGTTCAGATTTTGTCGCAGTTTGTATCAACTTCTGTGAAAGTTGCAAGTTTTCTGCAATAATTGTAAGAATTATTGCATCACCATGATTGGTGAAAGAGTATATGGTTAAAGAGCAATTGGTTCTTTTGTCTGTCTTACAGTCTTGCCAAGTGATCTGAGGCGTCACGACTTGCAGTGGAGAGTGGTGTACCTTAGCTCTTCCAGGATCTGCTTTATCTGGATTTTGATTCTTGGTCTACCTTTAATGATGCATATGCTATTTCCAGTCAAGTCCTCACATCAAACACATAAAATTTTGTGGACAAAATGGAATTACTTTTTTAAATCATCACTTAAATTTACATTTTTTAACAATACTGTCTTTATGTGGTATTTGTTAGGGGTGGGTATTGCAGAGAATTTTCATATTGCGATATATTGCGATGCGAAAGCATATATTGTGATATGTATTGCAATATATTTCATGAAGTATTTTTAAACAAAAACTACTTATAATCGAGTTACTTCTTGATTTATAGAAAAAACAAAACACAACAAAATCACTAGGCTTGATTAAGCTTTAATAACAACTTTTAATCATGATAAAATAAAAATGTGAATACTATTTGGCACAAATGAAACAAGGACATATCTGAACATTTCCGAGTGTTACGAAGTTTTCCGAATGCAAGTCAAAATACCGGTTTTCAATCAGCGTATCGCAATACGTATCGTTTTCATGTCTGAACCGTTAAATACCGGTAAACCGGTTATATTGCGCAGCCCTAGTGTTTGTTTTGGGGATATAAACATAACAATGTCATAAAAACAAGGCAGATACATAAAATAAGCCCTTTTATCCATGTACATTAATTTCTCTTTGTAGTAGTAAACATGCTGATCAATAGTTATGCCTGTAGACATGTACACTGTATAGGTAATGACTTGCAACAATTCAATATGTTTATACTGTTTTGATGGCAAATGTTAGATGGTCTTATGTGTACATATTTTCAACATACTGATTAATCCTTCATCTGTATATAGCAAATAATGCAACCATGGGAGTTAATTCGAATTGGAATGAGTTCTTTGTATTTTCATGCCACATTAGCAGTTATCATTAAAACATATCAATTTTCAGCTGAAAACTTAATATTGTGTCATCAAATTGGGGGTTGAGGGGCATTCAGCAGATATAAACGATTCACACAATTGATCAATTTGAAACAAAATCGGCGGATCTGCGGAAAATTGCCATCCCTGAAAAGTGAGAAACTAATATCTGATTTGCTTTTTGAACTATTCATATTTTTATAATACTGTGGAGAAATGTTAGGGAGAAGTCTAAAATGTCAGAAGTAAAGTAAAGAATATAATTCCTCAAGTTTTGAGAATACACCATGAAACTAGGGATTGTTCTGTCAAGCTGATTCTACTCCACAACAAATTATATAAGTAGTTGTGCCCTTGAGTTGTCGGGCTGAGTTTTTTTTTTTCAATCCTCTCGTTACAACAACTGTTGATGTCAATCATATTCAGAGTACTAATGTGATTTTTGGGTTGTTGAAAATATCAATCCTTCAAATTTAGACTTCCCCAAAGAAGGAAATACTTAGATTCTTTGGATAATTTTTTAACTTCTTCCTTTCAACATTAGAAGTATTTAAACATTGTGTACTAATTACACCAACAGGATCAAATTGTACTTTTAGAGACTTGTATTTGACATTGAATATATAAATATTGCCGGTGCCTTTAATAAATCCCAGACTTTTGAAACTGATTTAATGAAATATCAACATTCCAGAAAATGTATTGATAAATGACATGTACATAATTTGATAATAAACCAATTTGTATTTTCTACTTACCTGTGATTTTGTTTTGTTAAAGTTAGTTTGCTTCCACACATGGGGGTGGTGGGGTAGCCTAGAGGGTAAAGTGTTCGCTCGTCACGCCACAGACCAGGGATTTGATTACCCCACATGGGTACAATGTGTGAAGCCCATTTCTGGTGTCACCTGCTGTGATATTGCTGGAATAGTGCTAAAAGTGGTGTAAAACTAAACTCACTCACTCAACACATGGTTTACATGCTTTTAATGCCACTTACTAAGCAATATACCAGCTGCGTGATAGTGGTTTGTAAATAATGGAGTCTGGACCAGACAAGCCATTGACTGATGAGCAATAATCCATGTTTCTGGGTCACGATGATCTATCAGATACATTAATGTGCCTCCCCCCATCCAGCATCAGTTCATACTCAGAATCCCCAAGATTATTAAACAATCACTACCTGATGTTCTCCTCCGGTGTAGTGTGTTAGAGCGCCCGGCCCGAGAGCCGGAAGGTCGCGGAGTTCATCCTCATCGAATACCAAAAAGACGTTAAAATATGGTACTTGTTGGTCCCTGCCTTACTACATTGATGTACAAAAAGGACTCAGAATAATGTGTCTGATTGGGGTATTCATGCTTCATGCGCATGGTATCTCAGTGGGCTAGCTCTATAAAACCAGCTTCAGTCTGGGCTAGTACAAGCAGCCGCGACATACACATACGTGGGTAGCCATATGAGGAAATATTCTAAAACGATAAACCCAATTTCACCTCACCTCACCTCACCTGATGTTCCTGTAAAGTATTTCTATACCTTTTCTCACCTTATACAGGGCATAGCCTAGTGGTTAAAACAATCGTGTGAAGACCTGGATGCGATTCCTTACATGGGTACAATGTGTGAACCCTATTTCTGGTGTACCCTGCCCCGATAGTGCTGGAACATTGCTAAAAGCAGCATAAAACTAAACTCACTCACTCACTCACCTTTTACATAATTGGCATCACGTGACATACAGCCATAGTGAAATCAACAAATAACAATATTTGAACCCATGTTTAATGGATCTTTAACAATCAAAGGGGACTATGGGGGTAGCCTAGTGGTTAAAGTGTTGGCTCGTCACTTACTAGAATCAAATCAAGATCCAGGTTCGACGGAAGGTCGTGCGGGTTCGATCTCAGGAGTACAATATGTGAAGCCAATTTCACTGGAGCGGCACGTACACATGCACACATGCGTGGAGTCAGCGAGAATATTCTCAGAATGCGACGATGACCCAATTTCACCTCGCATACTGTCCGCTGTGATATTATGGCTGTGGCTAAAACCAGCACAAACTTGGAATATTGACCCGGTTCGAGGATGCAAATCTGAGTACAATTGTGAAAGAGAAAGCATTATCTGAGGGTTTGTAAAAGTACAAGCAGTCATGTCTTATATAGAGAAAAATGGAATATATAGAAAAGAAATCTTACCCCATTTCCCCTCTCACCGCTTTACAGAATGCAGTCTACACACTCCAATGAGAAGAAAATTACATTCAACATGTACAACAGCTTTTAACTGTCACATTATTTAGGCATTTTAACATTTTGTCTTGGTTTTTATTAATCTCATAATCAAACTTATTAATAAAAAGAAATTTGTTCCCATCCAAGTACCTTATTTTTCAAAAGACAATTGTGTTTATTAAAACAATCATAAACATATTTCATCAAATAATGCAATTTCTTTCAACCACCAACCAAAGTCTGGACCAGACAATTTGATCAAAAACATCAATTGGGAACCTGCTCAAACCAATAAGAAATGAGGGTTTTGTCACAAATGAAGCAAGCTTTGTGAAGTCAATTTTCCATATGAAAGACAGAAGCAGCAGATATGTATTCCTGATTTTATTAAATAAATACAGTGAATATTGAAAATTATTCCCTGCATTGTCAGATCTGTTACACACATGATTCATTGATTACACAATGTCATTTAGAAAGTGGTCAAATGTAACATATGTTACATTTGGGATTATCTAAGTAAAGTACCGATTCTAGTATTTTTGTTGGGTTGAGTCCCATTCTTGATTCGAACCAAAACCCGCTCAGCCACCACAACTTCCAGTGGAAGTTTTCATCTGTGGGTGAAAGTGAGTGGGTTTGGGTGGGTTGGTTTTGAGTGAGTCAGTATTGGTTTTTGAGTGAGTTGTTTTTTGGGTGAGTAGGCGGGTACAGGTTTTTGAGAAAGGCTGCAGCTTTTTGAGAAAGGTGGGGGTGGGGTGCACATGATTCAGAAAAGGTGGGGTGCACACTTCATTTCCACCCGGGTTTCAATGGTCATTTAACAAACTTTCTGGACAAAAGGGGGGGTGGGGGTGCATACCCCTGCACCCCTCCCTCTGGATCCGCCTATGGGTAGGTGAGTGAGGTTTCACACAACTTTGATCAATATCTTAGCAATATCATAGTGGAGGAAATCAGAAATATACTTCACACATGGTTTCCATGTGAGGAATTAAACCCCAGCCCTTAGCACCACACGGACGCCATGCCCTGATTCTGACCCAGGAATCTCGAGTCGGACCTTGTGGCATATATAAAGTATTTCAAACTTTTGATGTCAAATAAACTACCCATGAAAAGTTTAGACTCACTAGTGTAATTGTAAGCCACTAACTGTCAACTGTTCTAAACTAGATTTTGCAAAATATTCCATACTGTTCACACATACAGGTACTGTTTACACATGAACTGATGTATTGTAAAATTAATTTGTAACGTTGAAAAGATTATTGTCATGGGTTCAATAAATGATGCAAATCAGTGTAAATTGGCGAATTCTTAACAAAACTTTACACCAAAACACAGCTGTTCACATGCACGATATTTGTACATGCTTTGCAGCAATCTGAAGCATGATCCTCATGCATTTCATCTGCATTAGGTTTGCAGTTGGTTCCCCAAGTTAGGGATGAAATTCATCTTCGATGTAACCACATATGTATACATAACATAGTGAATGTTTGAAGTGAGTCTAAACTTTTGATCGGTAGTATATTTTAAACACAAATTGACAAATCAATTCCTAGTTTTACATTTTATCAAATTGATGCCAAAAGATAGGAGGTTTGATTTTTGTTATCACCTATTTATCAGAGATTTCAACTGTTATTACTTTATATTGATATTATATGATTCCAGAAGACATCAAGATGAGATTCACTCCACACATACAAACTATATGGCTGAAGCTTCGGCTTGCCATGCCGTATTGCTAAAAGCGGCATAAACCTCACTCACTCACAAACTACAGTCAAGAGTACATTTCCTCATATGCTTTTAGTTAGCCACTTAGAGATTCCAGATCCTTGTCACACGTTGAGGATTCCAGGGTAGAAAAAACTGCATTATGCCTGACTTGTGTGATAGTCTGCTATAAAAAGCATAGGTTTTTTCAAATGCATTCTGATCTGGAAAGGGATGTTGTCGATCAGTGTGTGTTTAATGCCAGCATCAGACATTTCTGTCTTCTAAAGTTTCTTTCTTATGGTCTGCCATGTGACACATAAATTCAAACAAATATGAAAAGTGTTCAGAACATAATCTGCAGTTGAACATTTGATCCTCCTTGTAGTCTTTGACAAGTTCCTTAGCTTCATCATGATGTCCAAAGACATGGTTCTTCAGATCTGACAACTTTTTGAACTCGAAATGACACACTTTACATCGAAACACATGTGTCATTTTCATATTCCTGGAATGTTCATTATTGAGGTTGTAAATTTTATCACATTCTAAACACCTCTGCAAAGTGTCCTTACCACCAAATTTTGTATAGGTAACTGGAAGGTCATCCTTGTTTTTGAAACATTCCTGCAAGTGTTCCCCAATGAGCTGTTTCGAGGCCTGGGGTAAGTATCCTTCTGTGTCATACCAACACTTCCCGCACTTGCTGCACATGAGCTTGTGATTCTCTAACCTGCCATTGTGAGTCAAGGCGTGAGTCTTCAGTCCTGTGATGTAGCTGAATTTCTTGCCACACCACATACAAACATGCTTGTCTGCCTCCCTGTGAATTGCCAAGTGCTTCCTTAGCATGTTTTCATAAACAAAACCTTTAGAGCAGTAACGACAGATGAAGGCGAGGTGACTCTCCATCTCGTGTTTGTACAGTAGAGGAAGACCTGGAAAGATGCTATCGCACTTCTTGCAGAGGTAGGTCTTCGCTGGTAACGAGTTTGATGACGAGGGTGTGACAGGTGTTGAGAATATGACAGATGACGAGGATGAGGAAGAAGATGGGCATGTGACACTTGATGAGGTTGGGACTGTTTGTGAGGACTGTGAACTCTCACTGTGTCCCAGAGCATCCTCTACAACATGGAAGCTCCCATCAGCAGCTTCAGACACTTGTGCAGGGCAAGAATCCTCCATGTTGTCAATCCTTGGACTTTGAGACCTACCCTCAACTTTTACAGTCAAATGCAATGGAGGTGCTGTTTCATCCTTTGTCAATCCAGAAGGACCCAGAACCTCCGGTAGAGACCTCAACACAGCCAATCCTTTCTTTGGATTATTTAGAGGAACAGACATTTCTAAACCACCAACCTTATTCTCAAGGCTGTTGGATTCAGTGTCACCTTCCACACCAAGGTCGGAAATGAGATTAACTAGTACTGATTCCTGTCCAGCAGTAGATGCTGTCGAGTCTTCCTTCAGGGCTGTGATGGCCTTCTTCACAGCTTCGTTGGTGTGAGTGTACAAGTGTTTCTTCATGACGCTCTGATAGGCGAACACTTTCCCACAAAAGGGACAGGTGTGACTGATGTCCGGGTGGTCTCGTAGCATGTGGAGCTGTTGGGCGGCTACATGCTGGAACACCTTCTGACACTTGTGGCAGGGGTAATAGCCTGCATGACTAACAGGTGCTTCTAATTTCAGGCATTGTGTCTCATGCTGTTGGAATTTCTGTGAGTTTACAAAGATTCTACCACACTGCCCACAATAGATGTGAGCAGAACCTACTGGTACTGCTCCCTTTGTATTTTTTGCTGACCTTTTGTCGGATTTGGACTTTTTATATTCTTGAGTTGATGTAGGGTATGTCTTAGTTTTCCATTTTCTCCTTTTCACTGGTGTTAGAGACAGCATGTCTTTCAGCTCCTTTTTCTTTCTCTTCCGTTTAGGTCTGGTGCTGTGAGTCTGGACAGGCACACTCTCAGGTCCATTTTTCTTACTTTCAGTGTCAGCCTCTAACACATCTGATACTGTGAAAGTAGAAGAAGTAGATTCATCGATATCTGACCCAAATTCCTGCGGAGGGTTTCCTGCTGAATTGGCCTTTTCCTCACCAACTTGGAATTCTTCCTGTGGACATCCAGCTTCAGACAAACCCAAACCCTCACCATCAGTCTTCTGAGTATGACTTTGAGAACATGCATAAATACCAGGCTTCATATCTGAGGGCAGAGTTTCAGGATTGATATCTTCTTCAAAGTTTATTTTGCAACTAGATAAATATCTATCAGAGCTGCTAGTTTCATCATCATCAGTTCTAACATTGACTGCATCATCATCATCATCATCATCATTATCAGCTGGCTCTTCCTTAATGTGCATGCTAAAATCTCCACTGGCAAGAGAGGTATTAATCCGTTTAGAGATTTCTTCACTGTTGTTGAGTAAATCACTGGGGACCTCTTGGACACAGTTGCCTTCTCGTGACACTTTCCTTGGTCTTCCAGGACCTCTGCTACCAGGAGACTTAGGAGGTCGTCCAAGTCTCTTTCTTGGGTTCGAGACATTTTGCCAGTCTCTGTGCCTCTTTAGCTTCCTTGGCTGCAGTCTCTTTCTCCATATTCCTCTTGATGTTAAGAATATCTTGAACAGTGTATGTCAATTTTATTCCTCCAAGTGGGTTTGTAGATACCACTGGTTTCACTAGCCGAGATGCCTCATCATCAACAGCGATCTCTGATTCTTCTCTGGACGGAAGCTTGGTAGTGTCAACTCTCTTGTCTTCTACTAGAATCTCAGCATGTGCCTTCTGAATGTGATATTTGAGCTGAAAGGCAAAGCGAAATTCCTCATTACAAACTGGACATAATTTTTTCTTGTTTTCAGCCTGAGAGGTATCCGTGTCATCATCTGCAGTAAGATTTTGAATCATTTTGTTGTCAATAAGCCATTCTGGATGAACTTCTTGCATGTGAAGATTCAAGTAATAGGGATGAGTGTAGATCTTGTTTCTGCAGATGAAACAGGTCTTACTGTACCGAGCTCGAGGATTAAACTTTCCTTTTGCTCCTTTGTTCCTGGAGTCATCCTCCCTACATTTTTTCCTCTTATCATTTTCCAGTGTCTCTGGATGCACCTTCTGCATGTGGAACTTCTTATGGAACTCATATTGAAACTGTTTGTTGCAGATTTCACACACTTTGGGATTGACTGATTTGATCCCAACCATTTCACTATTCTCCACGTCGTATAAGGCATACCTTGCTATCATTTTGCTGTTGTCCTCTTTGTCACATGGGGTTCTTTTCTCCATGCTATGTGAGGTTCCTGGATCTTGAACTTGAGCAGATTTGTCGCCCATTCCATGTTCATGTTCTTCTTCTCTGTCCATGTAAATTTCAAACTCAATTGACGTCTCATGCTCGAGAACTTCCCCATGTGAACATGGTGAATCATTTTCGTATTCAAAACTAGGATTTCTTTTCACTTTCCTTAATCGCCTTTGTCTTTTAAATGAATTCTCAAGCTTTATCTCATCCTCATCTTCCTCTATCTGTTCTTCATTTGCACTCTGCTCTGAACCCTCCGAGGTAAACACTTCCTCTTTGACATGAACGTGGGTGTGGTTGTATGCAATATCATAACTGTCATCCACACTCTCTTCTTTGACTGTAGGACGTCCGACATCCTCATCCACAGCTTCTTCTGCAGCCTCTCCTGTGGATCTATGTGGAGATGATTCATTCACTGTGGAATCATCATCGGAGTCAGTGGGACTATACTCTGTCTTCACGATACTGTATTTTCCAATACCCTCGTTCTCAAAATCATACGACACAACCTTGTAGTCATGGATTCCAGAATCTTCTGCAGAACATTTCTGAGAGTGACCCATGTTGTCATGGTTACCAGAGTCACTTTCGTCCCCTTCATGAGGGTAACCCTGTGACATCACCAGGTGGTCATGTCTGTGAAAGTCTCCTTCAGGACATCCCGGGTAGTCCTGGGACATAGTGCCATAGTCGTCATCAGTTTCAGGTTCTTGCTTGATAATGATGTTTCCTTGGACGTAACATCCTCCTTCATCCATCTTGCTCATCCACCAGGATCTGTTTTATCTGTGAAGTATTGAATGTTTCCTCATTTGTATTGTCAGATCAAGGCATACATGACATCACTCTTCCACTGTATCTGCTTCTGTGCCTTTGCTCACACATTGGTTTTCGTAAATCTGAAATGCAAAATAAAAATATAAAAAAATTATGAAATGAAAAAAAACTCATTCTGGAGCAAAATGATATAGAAGGGCTTCTCTAATATTGTTTGTTCTGTTTGGACTGTCAGTAAGTTAGTGTATTTTGTTCAGTGTTGTTTTGAAATTAATTGAATAACTTCAAGTTGAAGTGGGAGGAATAACATGGTTATACAACTTATAGCATGGCATGTTAGACTAATGTGGGGAAAAAAACATGGTAAAACATGGCATGTCAGATTAAGGTGGGGGAAATAATATGGTTATACAACTGATAGCATGGCATGTCAGATTGATATAGGGGAATAACATGATATCATGGCATGTCAGATTGATGTGGGGAATAACATGGTTATCATGGCATGTCAGATTAATGTGGGGAATAACATGGTTATAACATGGCATGTCAGATTAATGTGGGGAATAACATGGCTATCATGGCATGTCAGATTAATGTGGGGAATAACATGGTTATACAACTGATAGCATGGCATGTCAGACTGATGTAGGAGGGGAACATGGGTTATAACATGACATGTCAGATTAATGGGGGAATAACATGGTTATAACATGGCATGTCAGATTGATGTAGGGGAATAATATGGTTATCCATGTAAATACATGGACATGTCAGATTAATGTGGGGAATAATATGGTTATAACATGGCATGTCAGACTGATGTAGGAGGAATAACATGGCTATCATGACATGTCATCGTGGATTAATGTGGAAGAATAACATGGTGTATTGACAACTGATAGCATGGCATGTCAGATTAATGTGTGGGAATAACGAGTTATCATGGCATGTCAGATTAATGTGGGGAATAAATAATATGGATTATGTGGGGAATAACATGGATCATGGCATGTCAGATGTTGGGGGACTAACATGGCTATCATGGCATGTCAGAACGTGGGAATAACATGGCTATGACATGTCAGATTAATGTGGGGGAATAATATGGTTATAACATGGCATGTCAGACTGATGAAGGAGGAATAACATGGCTATCATGACATGTCAGATTAATGTGGGGAATAACATGGTTATACAACTGATAGCATGGCATGTTAGATTATCATGGGGGTGGGGTGGGAAAACATGTGGTTATGACTATGTCATGTCAGATTAATGGGGAATAACATGGCTATCATGGCATGTCAGATTAATGTGGGGAATAACATGGCTATCATGGCATGTCAGATTGATGTGGGGAATAACATGGCTATCATGGCATGTCAGATTAATGTGGGGAATAACATGGCTATAATGGCATGTCAGATTAATGTGGGGAATAACATGGTTATAACATGACATGACAGATTAACGTGGGAGGAATAATGTGGTTATATATCATGGAGTAATAATTCATACAAAAATTCATGATTAACTATTACCAGACATAACTTATACCTTTTTGGATAGGATATCTGTGAGGTGAGTTTTTATTACTTTAAACTGGTGTCTTTCCCTAAGCTATTAATGATCATGATGAAACTAATATTCTATATTTATATTTTCCTAATATCTGATACTAATATATCTCTTTTAGTGGTAATAATTAATAATGAATCTTTGTAAGACTAATTACTCCATATATCATGGCATGTCAGTTTTAAGTGGATTGTTAAATGGTTTTATCCTGATTTGTTGGATTCAAAAGGGTGGAATAACATTGTCATATTATATCATGTTAGATTAATGTGGAGGGGTTAATGGTTAGATCATGGTACCTTACTTCAAATAAGAGAGCCCGGCACAAATAGGAGAGCCTGGCACAAAGTATGGACTAGTAAAACACAGCTAACTTGGATATGTAGACCAACAAAAAATGTCAACAAAGTCTGCCACTTGACAAGTTTAACAAAAGTTGCTATCAGTATTGTTCTTTAAATATATTTTCTGCAAATTATCAACAAATATGAACAAGTAACTTCTTTTTCGACCATGTTTCAAAGTGGGCACAAATCTGTTTGTTATTGTAGAATATTGTTGCAATACCAGGGGTGGAAATAACCCATTGCCCGATGTCCGAGTCCAGTGTGTTTTTCTGTCGGGCAAGCAAATTTGTATATCACACTGTACCGGTGTCCAGTTGACTTTCCAATGTTAATTATGTTGTTTATTTAGAAAATCAGCAAGAAAACAGTCGGTATAGAGGAAAAAAAATTGAATGGTACATGTGCCACTGTACCGAGTACACTATCAATTTTCAAGTTCTTTCCACCACAATAGTAAAATTGAGAACATGTCTTTTTTCTGATTCCTCTTAATTTTCCAACTGTTTCACAAAATACCAACATTCAATTATATGGTAAACACATGCCAAAGATCAGTGTTTTCAGCATGGCAGTTTCAAAGGAGACCTTACCAAACCCAAAATACCAATTGCGTGAATTTAAAGGACTTGCAGTTTAGTGTAGTGCACACTTTAAATTTGACCCCACAACTAATCTGAAATTATTGATACAATATAATCATATACACTGTCTGGTTATGTAATAATTCATTCTATATCTGAATTTATGTTTTTACCCTTTTTCTTAATTTTACCGGAAATTTAATTCAATATTGTTCACACTGAATTCAATGAAATCCTGTGTAACGCTATCGGCAGTGCACCAACTCACCGTTAATTTCAGGAACCAGGAGCAGTGGGATAGATTTGGGGTTAAATTATTGACCCATCATGCCAAAGGCCTGAGTTTGATTCCCCACATGGGTACAATGTGTGAAGACCATTTCTCCCACCCTGATATTGTTGTAGTGGCATAAAAACCATTCTCACTCACTCAATATGGTTGGTTGTTGTTTAACGCCGCACTCAGCAATATTCCAGCTACATGTCGGCGGTCTGTAAATAATCGAGTCTGGGCCAGACAATCCAGTGATCAACAGCATAAGCATCGATCTACATAACTGGGGTACGATGACATGTGTCAACCAAGTCAGCGAGCCTGACCACCCGATCCCGTTAGTCGCCTCTTACGACAAGCAAGGGTTACTGAAGATCAAGTCTGACATGGACCTTCACGTGTTCCCTCATTACAGGATGGAAGTAAATAAATAATGAGCATTTGATCAGAAATCTCTGAGTAGTTGCCATTTATAGGTTTTTCAATATTACTGCTGTAGTGGATATTGAATACAATCTAAAATCTGTTGAACAAATTTAAATTGGTTGGAAAAATGGGAACATAAAATTTGGTTATTGGTCCAGTGTTTTCAAAAGAAAAAAATGTTTACAGAACTTGGAAATGCATTTTGGAAAATTTATGAGCATAGTAAAAGTGTAGTTATGACTGAATATGAGCATAGTAAAAGTAAAACATTAAGAGACAAACACACTTTTGTCTGATGCCTTAATAAATGTTTTAAGCACATGTGTCTTGAAATCATATTCAGAAGGACATTTTCGCGACGCTTGGCTAATGAAACCATACACTGATTCCCGTCGGCATGTCAGTTAGTTGTGTAAACAGTGAGTGAGTGAGTTCAGTTTTACACCGCTTTTAGCAGTATTTCGGCAATACAGAGGACACCAGAAATTTGCTTCACACATTCTACCTATGTGGGGAATCGGCATGACAAGTAAACCATTTAACTTCTTGGCTACGCCATCGCCCCAGTTGTGTAAACAGCAAAACTTACACCTTATGTGAATGTTTTCGTCATGGTATTAAATAATGTTTACAAAACATGTTTTACCACCTTTAATTAGCTATTACAAAAATAAACTAGTCTGGGGCTTTTGTCACTAATAATGTAAGACTTGTCAGGATCTTTTGATCTTTCCATCCGGGTTGAGCACTTGATCCCTAACAATAAAGTCAGTATTAATAATGTAATTACCATTTCTAATATTAAAATTAACTTTATTTCAAATTGCGAAATTATCTTGATGAAAAGATTAAAATATCTTTTAACGACAGTTAAAATATTACCAATGTAAATACTTTGTATAACATTGAAGGATTGATTTAATTAGGAGATAAACATGTGTTGGCTAATTTCTGTGTGCTATTGAGTATTTGCACCATGGGAATTAATTTGGAACCGACGGCATTAGCCAGAGGTTTCAAATGAAATATTATCATGCTTCAAATACTCAATGGCCAACACATGATGTTTATCGACATTGTAAACACAAAAGTAAACCAAAAGATCCACACACATTTTTCTGTCTGCACCCATTGACATCAAGTGAAAAATGTACCGATTATTTGTAAGTATTGATACGCAGCGAATAGTGTTGCAATTTCTGGGAACTGAATACCATTCGATCATGTTTCTCAACCAATCAGATTAAAGAATGCAGTGACTTTTGGTTTACTATTTATCAAATACTCACTGACATTGACAGAGAGATGAAAACATACTGTTACATTGACAAACAAAAGATGTACGTCATGTATGAGAATTTTGAATCGATAATCTATATACAAACACCGCAAATATGTATAAATAATATAAATATACATTCAAAACGTTATTTACATAAATTCCTTAAAAATATTATACTGAAACGTATGTATTTTACAACACAAAAACATGAAATATACCATCACAAATTAACACAATAAAGTTCGATAATGCTGCTAAAATTTACGATTTTTAAAAAATTGCAGACCGTAGAAATTCAATATGGCCGCCTGAGAGAAAACTGAAACATCGGCCATCTTGACTGTACCACCGTACAATTTCCATTCAATCAAAATAAATGACTACAATCTTAGCATGAGACTTAATTGATACAAAAGGTGCACTTTATCATCGTGAATACGGAGTGCCAAGGAAACAACACAACGAATGAAAAGCGGAATACAACCCAATTTCTTGATTTAGTCCGTATGGTACGAGCGATCGAGATGTCGCTATTTTGAGATCAGCGATTCATTGTTTGTACAATCCTGACTGAACAATAACAGGTTTGCAAATCATCTGACTCTGTTTGCATTCTTACCTGTCATGAAAGTCCTTTGATGAAATTGACATGGAACTGAAATCAAGCTTCGACTGACTGTGTTGGCAGAGGCGTTGACATCTACAGCTGGCAGGGTGGAAGGGAGGTAACTCCTGCTGGGAACTATATCTCGTCATTCTGCGACGAATTGTTGATCAGGGGATCGAATCTCAATGTTCCATTTTTTACACATTTTGTGTAACAGTGTGTAACATATTGACTATTCGGAGCAGGGGCGGATACAGGTTTTTGAGAAAGCTGGGGTGCACATTCCATTTTCACGAGAATGGTCATTTAATAAACTTTCAGGACGAAAGGGGGTGGCGGTGCGCACCCTTCAATTCATACATACATATGCATATACATATCATATCATAGAGGTGGGGTAGCCTAGTGGTTAAAGTGTTCGCTCGTCACGCCGAAGACCCGGGTTCGATTCACCACATAGGTACAATGTGTGAAGCCCATTTCTGGTGTGCCCCGCCGTGATGTAGCTGGAATATTGCTAAAAGCGGCGTAAAACCAAACTCACTCACTCATATCATAGAGGGGAACATTCTGGTATGATACATATCTTATGTCTACAATACACAATGCATAAAATATAATAAACCCATTAGTGTGTGGACCTGGGTAGGTCGGTATTAGTCAGTTTTAGTCTAGGTCAAAAGCCCCTCTGGACAAAAGCCCCTCGAAAAATAACCAAAAGCCCCTCACTTTATGTATTAATGGGAAAATAAGATTAAAGACAAGAAATGATTAATGACATGAAACATTGTATTGCTTCATAATATAATGACCCAAAATAATATATAAATTAAAATGAAATTAGCAAATGATTTGGAAATATTTCCGCCCGTAACCCCCGTATTTTCTTTTAATCATTTTATGCCTAAGGATATAGGCCTTTGTTGTTTTTTACCCCCCAAAAAACTAACGATAAACCCAAACCTAAACCCTAACCCCTCGAAATAATTCTACTAAATAGAATACATTTCAAGCAGGGGTTGAGGGTGGAACTCTTACCAAGTCCATTTTGTTCATGCCGCAAGGTGGCGTAATCCGTTATTCGTGGCGAATAGAAATTATCACATTTTCTCCATTTCCTTTACATTGATACGATGAAATACTTAAAATACTTTATAAAATATATAAAAGCAATGAAAACAGTTCATTATACTTTATTAAAAATAAAATATGTTTTCCTACTTAAAATACTGTATATAATATCAGGGAGCCTATATATCCCCGATACTATGTAAGAGCAGTGGGAATCTTCATTCCTTTATGAAATACATGAATAGAGGGGCTTTTGACAGGGTACTCAAATTAGCGACGAGCTTTTTTGGTGAGGGACTTTTGTACTAAGGGGCTTTTGCCCGAGCAATACAGCTACATCTGCACGTATACATGAACATTATGTTACAGCCAGATTGTGAAATCAGTCATTTCGCAAAATGACTGATTTAGAGGTCTAGCCATTTCACGAAATGACTGAAAGGATGTTGCTAAAATACAGGTGACTAATAACAGACAAGAAGTAATTGATAACAAGCTATATTGGCATAATAATTCACGAAATTACGTGTTCTGTTACATAATTGATGTGACCATAACTTGAACATCACTTAATAACTTACTCTACAAAAGTGGATCATAATTTAAACATCACTGATTTGAACAGTTAAAGCTATTGTGGCAGCGACTATTGCACTTCGGTCTACTCCAATTTGTGAGAACTCCCAGTTGTGAGACTCCCAGTTATGAGACAGTGGAGTAGGTAATTAACAACGAAAACACACCATACTCTCCCCTGTCTGATAGAATGGATTCACCCTAGCTAATTACTGATTTGCTATGTAACTGAATCTTGTGGAGGTAACTTAATTCAACTTTATAAGATGAATTGATTAACATACTCTAGGTAAATGTCTTTAATAAGTAAACACTTCCATTTATCCGTAATAAATCATGCATGGTTATTAAAATACATATCATTATATATTCGCAGTAACGTGGCGCAGACATGGGAGTGTCAGTCTGTACACGAGTGTTGGGATTTATACGGTTTTCAGCAATATTCCAGGGGCATCATGGTGGGGAAACCAGAAATGGATTGTACATGAAGAACGAACCTTGGCCCCGTTTAGCATTCCCACCGTTGCGCGACGACTGTCACAAGTGTATGTTAAAGTATGTAAGTGAAGGTCGTCTTACAGCAAAGGTTGCTTTGTGGAATGGAGCCTCGGAGGTATGGCTTTTCAAACGAATGCTTCAGCAAGTTTGTTGCCTTACCGACAAAACGACGACTCGTGCCTACACATGACTGAACCCCGTGATAATGTTATTTATTACCTACGAGGGCGAAAATATCGGGTTCATATTTTTCAAAATATTCCCTGGGGCAAAATATCACTTTGTCATGGTGACGTGACGTCATGATCGATGCTATGACATCACGTTTCTTCTGTGACGTTGCGTTCTACATGCAGCGACGGCGGGTAGCCAGCCTGTGTTTGAACGTAGATTTGGTTTTATTGTCTTCAATTTGACGACTTCGGTAATAAACAGAATAATATATTCGTGCCCATATCATACTATGTTTATAACACTCGTGCTTAAATATCTGTATATACCTCGCTCTCGCTCGGGAAATACCAACATTTAGGCACTCGTGTCGTAAACATAGTAAGACATGGGCACTCATATCATATCCTCTATTTATTACCCATATGGTGAAACATAACCAGTGTCATATATATATTATATGTGCTCATGTGTAGATATCACTTTTGCCCAGCAACCATTGTTTCTGTATTTCGTCGTCTGTGACGTCATTGAACAATTGAAGGTGACGTCAATGAAGATGGCCGAACCCATTAAGGGAAATATTACTGGAAACACATACATGAATGACATATTCATATGTATGAATGTACATATAAATATGAGACTCATTTCTCCCACTTATTTATCTTACCTCTCATTGCTGTGTCTGCTGATGTCAACTCCTTTTGTTCGTGGGATGCCAAACCCTGTTTAGTGGTACTAATAATATGGATGATGCAGGGCAGAACGCTCGATGCCATGAAATGCCCATGGTGTTGATGATGTTGATCACTGGATTACCAACATATATGGGGGCGGTGGGGTAGCCAAGTGGTTAAAGCGTTCGTCATGCCGAAGACCCGAGTTCGAATCCATACATGGGTACAATGTGTGAAGCCCATTTCTGGTGTCCTCCGCCCTGATATTGGTGGAATATTGCTAAAAGCGGCGTAAAATCATACTCACTCACTCCAACGTATATGTTCATATGACATGCTTCATGGTGCCAATATTCACCTAAGTTGCTTATATTCAAGCATGGTGTACATGTTCACCAGAGTTGTCTCAGTTTCATATGCATGAGTTATCACACAGTTTAACATGGAAACCGTACTCAGTGAGTGAGGTTAGGTTTAGGCTACACTCAGCAATATTCTAGCTATATGGCATCAGTCTGTAAATAATCAAGTCTGGACCAGACAATCCAGTGATCAACAGCATAAGCATCGATCTATGCAATTGGCATACAATGACATGTGTCAACCAAGTCAGCGAGGCTGACCACCCGATCCCGTTAGTCGCCTCCCACGACAAGCATGGGTTACTGAAGATCAATTCTAACCCAGATCTTCATGAGGGAGACAAGCATGGGTTACTGAAGATCAATTCTAACCCGGATCTTCATGAGGGAGACAAGCATGGGTTACTGAAGATCAATTCTAACCCGGATCTTCACGAGGGAGACAAGCATGGGTTGCCGAAGATCAATTCTAACCCGGATCTTCATGAGGGAGACAAGCATGGGTTGCTGAAGATCAATTTTAACCAGGATCTTCACGAGGGAAACAAGCATGGGTCGCTGAAGATCAATTTGAACCCGGATCTTCATGAAGGAGACAAGCATGGGTAGCTCAAGATCAATTCTAACCCGGATCTTCATGGATGCAAAAAAAACACTGATTCGATGCAACCAGTCCTTGTTTACTGACTCAATGCCAAGACTCACACAGGGTAACGAACAACAGGAAACAAGTCTTTTAAGTGTTCCTAACTTATTTTGAGAAGAATACATGATGTAAGGAAGACAAATATCATGGACAAAAGAAGCCCATACAGTTTTATACAAGAGACACATTTTGCCATTTTTTCACTTTTGGCAAAATAGCAAAAACCATAGATTTTTGCTCTTGTTCTTAACTGTTTTCCTGGCTTTACTGTTTTTGATGAAAATCCCCCATTCAGAGGTCTTGTGACATCCATAACTTTGTCATGCTATTACTGAATATGATCGTAAAATATCACATTATTGAAAACTTCCAATACATTGTGTCGATGCCTGGTTTCGAACCTTCAACACTTTGCTTACTAGCTTGGCGGTCTTGTCCACTAGGCTTCACTGTGAAGAATGTTTGTCAGCATGAACCATGTGTTCATGGGTATAGTGCGAGCAGCGCAGGACACGGGTAGCACATGCAAGGCAAGGTATCCACTGCCAGTCGAATCCCAGTTGATTTCAACAGTAAATACCAAATATTAAAAATTGTATCTAAAGTATATCTTCGGTCGGTTCATAAGTTGGATCAAAACCTCCTCCTCGGCTATGATCCTTCCTTACCTTTCACACCATTCTTTTCTTTGTATAGGTCCTTTAATTTCATGAATGACTAGAGGTATTCAAACCTTTCCTCACTGCTGATGTTAAAATCTTGACTTCTGCAACATTTGCAGAACCTTCAATGCAGTCATTCTCTGTAGCTCACAGGAAGTTCTCAAATATTTTTTAATGACTGTTTAGATCTTTGACTTTCTTGTTCCATAATCACATGTTAATGCAGATCTTCAAAGTTTTCCTCACACAGGTAGGTCACTGGAGATCTTCAAAGTTTTCTTTCATATAAGCTGATGACCATGACCAAGTTTATTTCCATGTACAGAAGCTCTCTACCACCTTCCTCACTTGAGATCTTCCTCTTCTTTAACTGACATCTCTGGGGGGACATTGTTTGGAGTCCTCAAGGGTATCCACTGCCTCAACACCTCCTGAGATCTTCTCCCTGTGTTACACATTTCATGGATGTTGCTTTCCCCACACATTCCTCCATGGCTGTAGAGATGGACATGCTGAGTGAGTGAGTATGGTTTTACGCCGCTTTTAGCAATATTCCAGCAATATCATGGCGGGAGACACCAGAATGGGCTTCACACATTGTGCCCATGTGGGGTGGACATGCTGAAACAAACACAGGGCAATAGACACAAACATCACTCTCAGAAACCATCAACAATTTTGAGATCTATTCCTTGGTTTTCCATCCACATCCTAATCCGTCCTGGGAATTCCCTGCCTACCTTGACTCTGCTGTAGGGTGGAAGTCAGGTGTAATTATCCCATTCTATTTCAATGGGCTAAATGGCAGCAGTCACTTCTTCACCTTTCTCTTCTTCACTGGCTGCTGATACTGTTCCTCAATTACTTCATTGTAATGTCTATTATTGATGCCATTGTCCACACTGGGACTTGCATACAACACAGTTATGTTGTGTTCAGATCCAAGAGATCTGACCCACTCCAGATTCTCCAGACTTGAACTGCAGTTCTGGATTTCACCAACTGTTCTTCCAAGACCATTGGGGTCATCCTGAAAACTGTCTGGTTTGTTAAATTGTTCAAGACATTCAACACCTGCCAACTGAAGAACGGTTTCAGCAGGAACCATTACCTTTTGGTTACCATGAAAACACACTGGAATCCCTATCTGTCCAAGATGTTCAGCCCATACGTCCTGAAGAATTGTTCCAACAGGAATGCATGGGTCATCTTCAAAGATTTCTGGTATCCTTATCTGGTCAAGACAAAAAGGCCCTGACTCCTGAAGATTTGTTCCAGCAGGAATGCTTGTGTCATCTTTAGGGTACTCTGTTATCTTCATCTGTTCAAGACATTCAGGCCCTGCCTCCTGAAGATTTGTTCCAGCAGAAATGCTTGTGTCATCTTTAGGGTATGCTGTTATCTTCATCTGTTCAAGACATTCAGGCCCTGCCTCCTGAAGATTTGTTCCAGCAGGAATGCTTGTGTCATCTTTAGGGTATTCTGCTATCTTCATCTGTTGAAGACATTCAGGCCCTGCATCCTGAAGATTTGTTCCAGCAGGAATGCTTGTGCCATCTTCAAGGATCCCAATACTTTGTCCAGCCTCCTGAAGAGATGTTGACAGGAAACCATCTTTTATAGTATAGGACAACTTCATGCTTCCAGCGGCAGTTTGTGATATTGGTCTCACCGAAACAATTAGATGACTGGAATCTGTACCATTTTGGAATTGCTCATCATTAGGTATGGGAGTTGGAGACCTCTGACTGAACATCTGACAAAGATTCTTTGACACCAATCTTTGCTCCCTGACCTTTGCCAAGATTTGTTTATGACAAGACAAAAGAATCCTTTTCCTTTTCCTCAAGCAACTCTCATCTAAGGTCGAGCTTTCCAGGTGCAAGTAGGACTTACTCTCTGAGTTACTTCCAGGAAGTTTATCTAAGATGACAGTACAGTCACTATTTGGTGGGTCTTGTGGACTCACGTCACCCTGGCATCGGATGTCCTTCTGGTCCATTTTGGGTATGTTCTTCTGAATGCTCATGTGCTGCCCAGGATTTGTAATCCTTTCAAGTGCTGTGTTGTGTGTCATATGTTCTTGCCCTGACCCTGAAATACAAGGCGGAAATAAGTGAGTGAGGAAATAAGTGAGTGAATGAATATTTCTTAACATTGGATCAGCAATTTTGCAGATATTCATGGCAAATTCAGTCATAATGTAATAACGTGGCTGATAGCATCATGTCTTCACTAATCACCTGGATACGTAAACAACCCCTTCAAATTAAAGGTGGCGGTGGGTAGTCTTGTGGTTAAAGTGCTAACTCGTCACACCGAAGACCTGGGTTCGATTTCCCACATGGGTACAATTATGAAGCCCATTTCTGGTGTCCCCTGCTGTGATATTGCTGGAATATTGCTAAAAGTGGCGTAAAACTAGTGAGTGAGTGAGTTTAGTTTTGCACTCAGCAATATTCCAGTTATATGGCGGCGGTCTGTAAATAATCGAGTCTGGACCAGACAATCCAGTGATCAACAGCATGAGCATCAATCTGCGCAATTGGGAACTGATGACATGTGTCAACCAAGTCAGCGAGCCTGACCACCCGATCCCGTTAGTCGCCTTTTACGACAAGCATGGGTTACTGAAGGTCAATATTCTAACCCGGACCTTCACGGGTTGGAGTAAAACTAAACTCACTCACACTAAAGTTTCATTTAACAGGTATAGCCTTCAAACTCTTAACTCTACAGCAGGAAATTCCTATTCTCAAACATGTTGACTAAACAATCACCATCTCAAGAAAAGTTTATTATACACATGCATCAAGCTTTTGACATTAGGTTATCAGGAGTGAGTGAGTTTAGTTTTACGCCACACTCAGCAATATACCAGCTATATGACGGCGGTCTGTAAATAATCGAGTCTGGACCAGACAATCCAGTGATCAACAGCATGAGCATTGATCTACACAACTGGGATAGGATGATGTGTCAACCAAGTCACCGAGCCTGACCACCCAATCCCGTTATTCGCCTCTTATGACAAGCATGGGTTACTGAAGATCAATTCTAACCCGGATCTTCACAGGTCTAGCTTATCAGGATTTGTTTGATAGTTTTCTGTATCCAAGGAACATCTTGGACTTCAAATTATAGTTTCATTTGACAGGTATAGCCTTTAAACACTTTACATTGTACACCAGGCAATACCTATTCTCCAATAAGTAGACTGTAATCCTACCTGTAATTTAATGTTTTAAATCATTCAAGGAGGTGAGGTGAGGTGAAATTGGGTTTAACGTTGTGATTGAGAATATTTTGCTCATATGACGACGTGCTTGTGTGTGTATGTGTATGTGCGGCTGCTTGTACTAGCCCAGACTGAAGCTGTTTTTGTTATAGTGCTAGCCCACTGAGATACCATGCCGCAGTGAAGCATGAATACCCCACTCAGACACATTATACTGACTCCGAGCCGACCAGACCTAGTTGTACCCATTAATGCCGAGTGCCAGGCAGGGACCAACAAGTACCATTTTTAACGTCTTTTGGTATGACGCGATCGGGGATCGAACCGCGACCTTCCGCTCTCTGAGCGGACAAATCATCCAAGGAAATAAATGGTAAACAAAAAGACAGTGGTGGAACTCCCAAACTCAGGTTACAGCTGTACAGTTTGAGTGAGTGAGTGAGTTGAGTTTTAGCAATATTCCAGCAATATCATGGCAGGGGACACCAGAAATGGGCTTCACACATTGTACAAATGTGGGGAATAGAACCTGGGTCTTCGGAATGATGAGTGAAAGCTTTAACCACTTAGCTACCCCACTGCCCCACAGTTTGTTTGACAAACGTGCTGGTCCACTAGACAAATGCTGGAAAATACTAGTCAAGACCAGTCATTTTTAAATGAAGTACACTGAAGCTTTGTAATTGGTAGTGTTACCAGTGGATCCATGATACTGCCTCCATATAAAACAAAAAATGATCACACAACATTTTAAGAAGAACAGTTAAAATCTGGCAGACTAATTTTATTTTATATATTATTTAGTTGGTCAGCTTGGTAGGTTGCTCGATTGCATGTCATTGTACCTGCACAGCTTGATGCTCACAATATCAACCACTGGTTTCTTCTGTCTGGACTTGATGTATACAATCTGCTGCCATAAAGCTGGAATATTGCTGTGTGAGGCTTTAAACAAAACACAAACACAAAACAGGCCTAAATCCTAATTTTATTACATTAGTATTATAACATTGACTCCACAGTAGTGGTGGTCTGATTAATTGAGATAATCGAAGATTGGTCGCAGTGACCAAACGACCAAGCAATCGATCACATTTTCTCATAATCGAACACAAACGATTTTGGAACCGCTGTAATAGAGTTTGAAATACTTGATGATTGAACATATCTAGGACGTTGTCAGGGCCGGAAAACATGTTTAATTCTTAGAAAACTCACTTCACTTTCTGAAAATCATGACTGAATATTTCTTGAAAAATCTGGGAAGTTTATGTTACACTGGAACTGAATCATTTTACACTGGATGTGAAATTTGCAAATGTAATTTGTGCAGTTTCTAAATAAAACAAAAAACAACAACAGAGAACCAAATGTTTTTTCTTTATACTTATCTGCAACTACAACCTGAATAGGAAAATCTAACCAAAAATGACGCATTAACCAATCATCAATTTTTTCGATGATCCAACACTACTTGGCATTGTTACCAATCATCAGTTGTGAGATTTCAGTCCAATACGATCAGCCCAACACTACTCCACAGGAAGCTTTAGTCCCAAAAAATTCTGTTCAGTCCATTTTTCTACGATCAGCTGATAAATGACAGATTGTAACATTTAATTCAACTGAAATGATTCACTATAAAAGCAATTTGCGTTGATTATTAAATAAAACATGTTTAACATTGGACAGACTGACTGACACTTTAAGATTTTTCTACTCATCTTCACTGGTCGGACGTCAGGAGTGACCCCTGATCTTCAGAGTGAGTGAGTGATTGAGTGTAGCTATACCACATGATTTTTTCATAATACATATAACTGATTATAAATAACATTATGTGATAGCTTGCACTCTACTGATTTCAGATCACTTTTCCTTTTGAAAATCGGACCATAAATAAATATTTTAGAGGCAAATAAAGTGTAAAGATTTTGGGTCCAGGTTTGGATTGATTTTGTACATGTAATACTTGAAACTTGCGGACCAGTGTTTTCGCTGAAAATATCTTAATTTTGCCACAACATTGCTGTTTTTGGGGGTATTACACAAAATTTAGTACATGGGGTAATTGGATACCCCTGATTTCATTTTTGGCATCAGAATTCACATAAATCTAAAGGATTAAGAGTTATTCCAGAGATTCAAGCAAAATATTGAATGAACAGTGAGTGCAATGACTGAGTGAGTGAGTGAGTGAGTGAGTGAGTGAGTGAGTGAGTGAGTGAGTGACATCGGCAGTATTTCACCCACATTGTGACTTGATCAAGTCATATATTGTCAAAACAGACACAATATGATTGATGACTTGCTTGGAAATACAGCAATTATTAATTATACCAATTTACAGAAAAAACACAAACAAAAACATTTGTTCTTATCAAGAAAAGCTAATATATTTTAACTGTCAAGATAAAATACAAATTTTATGTGAGCATATGAATACTGTTTTATGCCACTTATGGAGTATTCCATCAATGTCATTACTATCAGAACCCATGAAGATCCGGGTTAGAATTGGTCTTCAGTAACCCATAAGAGAGAACTAATGTCAGGTTTTCCGACTTGGTTGGGGCGGTGGGGTAGCCTAGTGGTTAAAGCGTTGACTCGTCACGCTGAAGACCCGGGTTCGAATCCCCACATGGGTACAATGAGTGAAGCCCATTTCTGGTGTCCCCCGCCGTGATATTGCTGGAATATTGCTAAAAGCGGCGTAAAACCATACTCAGGCAGTCAGTCTCCGACTTTGTCAACACATGTCATTGTATCCCAATTGTGTTGATCAGTGCTCATGATGTTGATCACTGGATTGTCTAGTCCAGATTAGATTATGTACAGACCGCTGCCATATAGCTGAAATATTGCTGAGTGCGGCGTATAACTTAACTCACTCGTATAACATACGAAAAACAAAAGCAATGGATCCCAGGTTTGCAATACCGTGAATGGCATATTACTGCTCATTAAATTAAAATTATTGGTAATTTAATATATGATCAAAGAATGGAAAATATCTACATGAGCAACAGCCTGGACATCGTGTGGCGTTGAATAACAAACAAACAAACATTACTATCAGCATTGGAAACAGTTTCTAACATTGACTTCAGAAATAACATTGAGGTCAGGCCGAAGACCGGGTTCGATTCCCTACATGGGTACATTGTGTGAAACCCATTTCTGGTGTCCCCTGCTGTGATATTGCTAAAAACTGCATAAAACTTGACTAACTTACTCGCTACAGCTGAAAGAATGTCTTCAAGACTGCTCAAATTACATGCTTACCTCTCTGCAAAACTCTTATGGGGAATACATAGAAGACATATTGTCATGTTGAACTACAATCTCCAACCAGCAGGACTTTTTGAAGAGATAAGGAAGTTATAGTCCGTTTGGCTCAAAAGCGGACAGATGGAGACGGCACAGCACAGGTTAATGAATAAATAACTTTGTATGTGAACATGCTTCTCGAACACCTGGCTGTCCCTTTCTCTGCACCCCTCCCTCGTAACAAATAGTGAACTGTGTCAATATTTTAATGATAGATTGTTAAACAACTTTTTTATTTTTAGGACAAAAATTCTGCAAAAACCTCACAGAGTGGGTATGATGTTTTGATTATGATCAGCGTTTCATTGAGTATGTTATGTTTATTAGTTTTCGAGTTAGATTGCAATTCATCGGTCCGCTTTTGAGCCAAACGGACTATAAAGGGGGGATATTTATGGACTTCTATATTTTGAGAAACACAATGTTTCGGAGTATATTCCTTCTCTTTCATCATTCACCATATGTATCATTTATGAATGTCATTCAAAGATTGCATTAATCAAAACTCAACCTATTTATAGAGATCCTGATAGTAGAGTTTCCACTGAGATTTTCTAATGAGGATAAATGTTTCATTAGAGCTGGCTAAAAAGATTTATATTCAGGAATATTGTTTAAAAAGATAATAATGATTATTGACATTAAAATTGTGTCATCAATAACATCGTACAAAAACTGATGAAATAAAATTTTAATATACTCATACCAAAAACAAACTTAGGTCTTTATTCATTGGCTGCTTCTGAATTAAGTTCCAGTGTATCCACAAGGAGGGTGAGGAGGGGTGAAATAGGTGAACAGAGGTGAAATAGGTTTTAATGGGTTTAAATGGGATGAAGCGGGTTTAAATGAGATGAATTAGGGTTTAACATTACATTCCAGATAACAGCATTTAAATAGGGCAACATGTAAATGCATACTAGTGTTGGGAATTGGTTAAAATATCATAATTGATGATTGGTCCATTACAACCGATCAATCATCGAAAATAATTGGCTAGCGTCATTTATTAAATTGTCCTGGCTGTTTGTTAATGCACATAAAATAATGAAAAAACATGCAGTTCTTTGGGGATTTTTTTTGCAAATTTCACGTCTTTAAAGGATGACTAGTATGTTAGGAACATAAATTTCCTGGAGTTTCAAGATAAATTTCATCACGACTTGGAACGAGCTTGTAGTGCTTATGAAACGTAACATTCAAAACCAACCCCTTGAGATAAATACTGTTAATGCAAACAAGTGTTCCAAAATTGCTTGTGTTCGATTATGACAAAACATGATCGATTGCTTGGTCGTTTAGTCATTGCGACCAATCTTCGATTATTTCAATTAATTGGACCACCACTAATGCATACATGTGTGTAACTGCTTGTAGTAGTCAAGACACATCCTGGCTTTATTGTGCTAGCCAGTTGAGACACTAAGATGCATTTTAACCCAATCACACAGTATACTGTCTGTGGGCTAGGCAGTCTCACAGTCCCTGAACGATTATATATTCCAGCCCTTTCTGCAATGGTAAAGCTGTAATTGAAGCAAGTCTACATTACCTCAGTTCAGAATCTCCCATCTCACTGAGGCTCTTTTCAAATTTAAATGGAATTAATTTTTCTATCAAATCATATAATACAGAGACTAAGCATTAGTCTGTGGGCTGGCAAGTTTATGAGTGAACAATTTGATACATGCATGGTATTTTCTGGATTCATAGATGAGCAGGCTAGCTCGCATGACAAGCATATTCGACAGTGTTAATTTTATTCATTTCTCTAAACACATTACTTTCCCTTCCGTCCAGCCCTTTCTGCAATGTAAGACGGTCAATGTAGCAAGTCTAGATTTCCTCAGGTTTGAATCTCCCGTCTCACTGGGGCTCCTTTTCAATTTAAATGGAATCATTTGTTTAAGTCAACTTTATATAGATTCAGAAACTAAACGTTAGTCTAGTACTCTACTTACCTATCAGTATGCACGAAGCCTTTGATAATTAGACCCGTGTATAAGGTTAATTGGTACCAATTGTACCCCAACACCGAGTCCCTTAACAGGATCGGTCTTGCAATTGGGTTTTGACACGCCACACAACATATCGCCCATTTGAGGTCGTAAGACACTAAGTCATATATAATCACAGAGTGTCATAAATATAGAGACAGGCAAAGTACTTCTCATAAATACTACAGCAAGATTCACCTGAACACACCCACCTGTTAAGCAGCTGATCAAGGGCTGTCGTTTGGACTCTGGAACATATAACTGGTCGATGAATTGATTTGCGCAAAATTATCAGTAGACAGAAACTAGTACGGTTTCCGTCCGAGCTCCTTACAGTGATTTCTTTCTCTGCTAAACGAAGCGAAAGTAGCACACACGCTGTTTTGAGACGGTCGGGGATTGATATAAGGGAGATAACTCGTGTATCCTCCAGCCTGTGCACAAGATCGATGTACGTTGTGAAACGTATTTCATATCACATTCTTTAATTGAATTGTGGCATATTTGAAATGGACACTATTTGTGATGCGTGTCTCTAGAGTTACACACAATGAATAATATCATGTTTGTGCCATACTCGTATACGATGTCCCCGCTGTTGCTCATATAGATATTTTTCATTCTTTGATCGTATATTAAATTACAAACAATTTTAATTTAATTAGCAACAATATGCCTTTCGTGGTTATTGCAAACGTGGGACCCATTGTATTTGTTCCGTGTATATTATACGCCACGCTCAATAGAGCTATTAAAGTGAGTTTAGTTTTACGCCGCACTCGGCAATATTCCAGCTATATGGCAGCCGTCTGTAAACAATCGAGTCTGGACCAGACAATCCAGTGATCAACATCATGAGCATCGATCTACGCAATTGGGATACAATGACGTGTCAACCAAGTGCCTGACCACCCGACCCCGTTAGTCGCCTCTTACGACGAACATGGGTTACCGAAGCTCACGGGACAGTGAGTGAGTGAGTGAATATGGTTTTACGCCGCTTTTAGCAATATTCCAGCAATATCAAGGCGGGGGACACCAGAAATGGGCTTCACACTTTGTACCCATGTGGGGAATCGAACCTGGGACTTCGGCGTGACGAGCCAACGCATTAACCACTAGGCTACCCCAGCGCCCCCTCACGGGACAGAGCTGTTAGAAGAAGGTCTGTGTAAAGTCGAGACTGGTGCCAAAACCCAGTGAGTGATATTATGAGCAATGTTGACAAAGGCCCTAAACTCTCCTGCCTATGCCTTGAATTGCTTATAAAGTCTGCCCCCCTCCCCCTTTATGCTGAAAGTTTGTTAAATGACCATTGAAACTCGGGTGAAAAAGTGTTCACCCTCCTTTTCTCAATAGTGTGCACCTCCGCCCCTTCTCAAAAGCTGTATCCGCCCCTGTATTGTATCGGATCCTATTCATGTTGAACAGTGAGTGAGTTTACGCCTACTTTAGCAATATTCCAGAAATATCACGACAAGGGACACTAGAAATGGGCCATTGTATTGTACCCATGTGGGGACCGAACCCGGGTCTTCGGCGTGACGAACAGACGCTTTAACCACTAGGCTATCCCACCGCCCCTGTTGATGAAGATGAAATGATGTTTGTTCGTTGTTTAACACCGCACTCGGCAATATTCCAGCAATTTGGCGGCGATCTGTAAATAATCGAGTCAATCCAGTGATTGAGATCATGAGCATAGATGGTCCAGACTCGCATATACACAGACCGTCACCATATAGCTGGGATATTGCTGAGTACGGCGCAAAACTAAACTCACTCACTCTTTGCAAATGAAAGGGGATGTAGACAGGGAGACCCACTATCCCCATATCTTTTCCTTTTTGTGGCTGAAATTCTTGGTTGCATGATAAGAAATAATGAAAACATCAAAGGTATTGTCATCAATGATAATGAATATAAACTGGATCAATATGCCGATGATACTGAACTATTTCTTGATGGAACTGAAGAGAGTTTGTACTCTGCTATTGACACAATTAATAAGTTTTACAAAATGTCAGGCTTGAAAATTAATTTAGACAAATCAAAAGCAATCTGGATTGGATCCAAAGCTAAATCAATGGATAAAATATGTAATGATCTGAAACTTGAATGGGTAATTGGTGAATTTGATGTACTAGGTATTAAATTTACACCAGATCTTAAAGACTTATGGGTAATCAACACAGGAAAGAGACTGGAGGGAATTAATAGACTCTTAGCATCTTGGAGAAAAAGAAATTTAACACTTATTGGTAAAATAACAGTAATAAAAACTCTAGCAATCTCAAAATTGGTCCATATTTTCAATTCCTTGCCCAACCCACCAGCAGAATTTATCACGTCCCTTGACAAAATGTTTTATAAATTTATTTGGAATGACAAGAATGATAAATAAAAAGGATTGTAATTAAAAACAACTATGAAGAAGCAGGTTTGAGAATGATTGATGCAAAAACATTTATAGACGCTTTGAAATTATCTACTTTAAGACAGTATTTCAAAAGAGGTGATAAGGATAATCCATGCAATATACCGTTTAAAGACTTATTTAATTTTGGAGCAAATTCTGAAACTTACTTTAAGATTGAAAATCCTTTTTGGCGTGATGTGCTAAAAGCATGGCAACTATTCCACTAAAAACATTGTATTGACCCAAATAACATTAATGAAATTCTATCCCAACCGTTATGGTTTAATCATAATTTTAAAAATTCATTAAACTTCATAAAGAACGGGGCAGATAAAGGAATTATAAATATTAGGGATATTTGTGATGAAACTGGATTATTGTCAATAGAATCTTTAAAAGAAATATATGGTATCAAAGGCACCTTTTTAGATTATAAATATTTACTACATGTATTACCTGACTCTTGGAAAAATACTCTTAACCACTGTCATTTAATACCAGTCAGGGATTTAAATATTAACCAATTCCAGATATATCTAGTAAAAACATCTAAAGGCTGCAGGACTTTTTATGATAAACTTATTTCCAACGATATACACCCAAATATGTTTAATAAATGGCAGCTGCTATTTCCTGAAATAGACTTATTTACAGCATACAGAAAAGGATTGCAAGACACACAACTTTTAGATTTTCAATATAGATTTCTACAAGGTGTTATTTATACAAAAGGAGAATTGCTTAAAATGAAAAAGGTTGATAGCAGTCTATGTTGTTTCTGCAATGATCTAAATGAAAGTGTTTGTCATGTGTACTGGGAATGTCAGGAGACACAAACTTTTGGAAAAACCTACAAATTTGTCTTAACAATTTATACCCTCACGCATTGCTATTATCAAAACATATGGTTTGGTTTGGTACATCATAATATATTACTAAATCACATCATTATTGCATCAAAAAAGACACATTTACGTATGCAGTATTAAAATTACGCATCCAAACATAACTCTATTTATAAAAATTTGAAAGAAATATTCTTTGTGGAAAACCATATATGCAAAAGAAATAATAAAATAGAAGATTTCAATCATAAATGGGGTCTTCTCTTCCCAGTACTTTGATGAATTTAAAATGTATCCAATTTACCTGAGGTCATATTTCTCTTTTATTGACTTATAAACTGAGGGGCAAAAGAAACGTCCCCGATCATTTTTGTATCATAAAATGATACAAACACGTGCAATTCAATGTTGAAATGTTTGATATAATTTTTGAACATATTATGCAGACTGTCATTACAGAACAATTGAAACAATTTGCTGTAAGTAGAGTTTTTGTGACGTTTTTCACAGGAGGTTCAAATGTCCGGTTTTCGATCATGACAACACATGCACATCAGTACTGACAGAGTGGCTTTGAGTGTCCAACTCCTCAGTAGCGAGTGTGTCCACCTCTTGCAGCGATACATGCTGCCACACGACGTCGTGCAGAGTGCACAAGACGTCTGATCACGTGATGTGGGATGCGACGCCATTCTTCCTGTAGAGCTTGAGCCAAAGCATTTCTTGTCTGTGGGGGGATGTTGACGTTGCTTAACCTGACGGCCGAGATGATCCCATAGGTGCTCAATAGGTGATAAATCGGGGGATCTTGCTGGCCAAGGAATGACGTTTACGTTGTTGTTGTTCAGGAAGTTCCGGGTAACAACAGCAGTGTGGGGAGTAGCGTTATCCTGCTGAAACAACACGCCTCGATTCTGCTGGAGGAAGGGTAACACGACAGGTCGTAAAACAACATCAATGTATCGACGGGCATTCAGGTTTCCCTCTATCACCAACAAGTCAGCCGCCAAACGTCTCAACTTCCTGAACGCAACAACGTGCTGTGCGTTCGTTCCGACGTCTGTAGACTCGTACCCGACCATCTGCTTTGTTCAACTGGAAGCGGCTCTCGTCACTGAAGAGTACCCGGCGCCAGTTCCGCGGCTGCCACTGCCGAACTCTACGTGCCCAAGCCAATCGACGACGTCGATGTTCACGCGTTAACGTCACGCCCCGGAATGGTCTGTAGGCTCTGATACCGAATCGGCGGAGTCGTCTGGATATGGTCCTTCTACTGACTGGATGGGTAAGGCTGGTTGTTGCTGATGACGTCACAGTCAGGAATCTGTTGCGCAAGTGAAGCACCCGTAAATGGCGGTCTTCCTGAGGGGTGGTTACGGGTGGTCTCCCTGTCCTAGGCCTGTCTGCAGTCCGACCTGTTGTTCTGAAGCGTGTCATCAGTCTGGTGATAGTTTTCTTGCTGCAACCCATGATTCTTGCAACGTGACTGTGAGAAGCACCCAGCTGCAACATCCCAATAGCTCGTTCTCTCTGTTCTGCAGTGAGTCGAGGCATGTTCTTTGTGTCCAACGTATTGAAGTGATGAATTCGAACAGTCGAGCATAATTTTTATACTGTACTTTCATACGGGTATGTTTCCACAGAAGCATGCAAAAAACGTGAATAAAAGCAATTTTCATGCTTACAAAAAACTCCACGTGGATTTCCGTTCTGTGAGACGTGGGGATGCGTTCGGGAGATGTGTTCCTAAATAAATTTCCGTCATAACGAAAACAGAAGAAATGTTTTTTACAATTTTACTTTGGGGACGTTTCTTTTGCCCCTCAGTTTATATGTGTATTAACACAATATTGACATAGTACCTGTACATCATCCATCTGTCTGTATATCACTGTTCTACATATGACATTGTAATCCTGGGAACCAATAAAAAAAACCCCCCAAACCCCCAAAACAACTCACTCACTATATATTATTCATGTATCATTAGCGAGTTTCGTTCAAGGAAAACCGCCAAGAACTGTCATTTGATATCCCCATTAAAAATGGCCATTAAACTAAACTTCTAAATTAGCAGTAATAGACTCTAATTATTAATGATATATCAATCATCTA